TTATGCTAGGCATGTGTTTGCAAGCAATGAATCTCAACTGAACTTGAACTATGGTTATGCAACAAGGTGGAGGAATCCACCATGGGGGGAGGGGTATGGGAGGGGTGGGGGGAATCCCCAGCGCCTATAAAACTGTACTACATAATACAATGTAAGCAACAATTAAAAAAAAAAAAAAAGATATGTTTTTTTGGACGCCGAAAAAATCTTTGAAAGCCATTCATTGTTGTTGGCTGGGTTTTGTTTGTTTGTTTGTTTGTTTTTTGTTTTTGTTTTTGGTAATAGAAATTTACTGTGAAATTTTTGAAGGTCGCTCATATGTGGATTTTGCACTAAATAGACATGTTTTCCCAGACTTGTTGGCATTCCCCTGTGAGAGGTGGAACTTACACACAGACTTCAGATCCTTGTTATAGCGTCACCAGTGCTGATTATGGATAGGTTCCGCAAATCAAAAGAGGAGTGAAAATTCATGTCATAGGCCCATTCACTTTCCTTAAACTCTGTAGGGTACAGGAATAGAGGCCAGCCTGTGTCGCTGGAGAAATGGGCAAGCTGACCCTAACCGGAAACGTTCCTAGTTCACTTGCAGAGAAAGCTGGACGTCAGTTGGAGGAACAGGGCTTCTAGCCAGGGTTAGTGCAGTGATTTCATCCTGGAGGTTCCTCTCCCTGTCCTGCTTCCTGTCTGTTCTACCTCTCTGCTCTTGGTCTCCTTGTTTACCATGACCTTGTTTCTCTGTCTTTTCACTTCCTTTCAGCTTGAACTCCTGCTAACTATGCTAATCTCTTGACATTTTCCAAAGTAAAACAGAAGAAAACACTTGAATGCCTTTAAGAAAAATGAGGGAGGTTGACATTTACAAAGTATAATATGCTGAAAATGTATTTTATAATTTTATGTAGAATTTACTGAATTTGGAAGTTTAAAAAAAATTCTTACCATATATAGACACTAACATTTAAGATGACTATTATTAGATTTTCAGCTTTTTTCTCTGCTATTGGTCTAATCTGCTTATAAATGTTTCTTTAGATAAAAATGGTAGGGAAAGAAGATCTCAGTTAACCTAGAGTTGAATGGCTGTTCCATATTGTTGTGATGGAATATATTAAGGAACATGAGGTTCCATTGGTGTACTGGATGCTGTATTGGATCTTTAAAGAGGAGGAATATTTCTGGCAGTCACTAGAATAAACAGGATTCTGTGTTTGATGTGACATCAAACATAGACGGTAGACGACATTACTTAAACTTGCTGAGGGTAGTACAAACTTCTGATTTTACTTGTTGAATTTATTGATTATTTTATGTGAAAGAATATCCATTAAAAATCAAGAAATGGCATTTTTTTCATCAGATCTTTTTAGCTAATACCTAAAAAAATACTTTGTTTTGTGTTTGGTAAATTTCTTTTGTTTTGAAAGTGTAGTACTGCTCTTTTCTTTGCTCGCTCGCTCTCCTCCTCCTGGCCTCCCTTCCCCTCTTCCCCTTCCCCGCTGGAATAAACCTCCTAAGATGCAAAAAAAAAAAAAGTGTAGCACTGGAGTTGAAGAGATAAAAAACAGGGCAAAGTGAGTGAGTGAGTGTCCTGCGGGGGACACCTGTCTGTCGTTCTCCATCAGAGGAGACAGTGAGTGAGTGAGTGTCCTGCAGGGGACACCTGTCTGTCCCTGTCCATCAGAGGAGACAGTGACAGCCCTCAGTCCCACAGCCCCGCTCCTTGCCAAGGCACCTGGCATGTGTTCTTAGAGAAGTATGTGCCTACAGGACCTTTTCCTTCTAATGTCAAGGGTCTGTGGTCTCGGCTCTGCTTGCCACTTCCCATCATAGGAGTGCACACCAAGGGGTATGTGATGATGAATGTTGTGTCTGCCCAAATGATTGGAAGCCCTTTTCGTTCCTCAAGCACCATCTAGGGGATTGACTGGGCCAGTGCCTTTTCCTGTCAGCTTCATTTTTTCATTTTTTCCTTTTAAGCCATATATTTAGGACTGAAACATTCAATGAAAAACTGCTTGTTTGAGAAAAGTTAGAATGACATGCTTACTCGGAAAAGGCCTGAGCCTTCATCAGATCTCATGCTGACTCTTACGCATAGAGAGATCACAACCACATTTGATGAAATACTCAAATATTGAATTCCAAAATGTTCATTGGAAACCAAAAGACAACCTCAGAATGACTCACTAAACCGTGTTGTAAGCAAACTTTGTAAAGAGAAAGCACCCTAGGCACCCATTGTATAATACCTGAAGGGATCCCTGAGAGGATTACTTTTAGATTTCTCTTCAGAAAAGGAGGCCAAAAGACAGTGCACTCCTGTGTCAGTGTACTAAAAGGAAGAGACTCCGAGCCAAGAATTCTATACCTGTTATCTTGTATCTCCTTTAGAATTGAGGGAGAGATGAAGAAGTTGCCAGATAAACAAAAGCTGGGAGCGTTCATGGCAGCTGCTGCATTGCAGGAGCTGCTTGGAAGAATTCTGTGAGGGGAAGTTAGGGCCTGTTAGTAAACAGGAAACCATGTTAATAAAGATCTCAGCAGACACTTGTAAAAGCCAGAGGTGTTCTACTAACAATTTTTTAGATTTGTTTATTTTGATTTGATAGATGTACAGAGAAGAGACAGAGAGGAAGATCTTCTGTCCAGTGATTCACTCCCCAAGTTGCCACAACAGCTGGAACTGAGCCGATCTGAAGCCAGGAGCCTCTTCCAGGTCTCCCACATGGGTGCAGGGTCTCAAGGCTCTGAGCCATCCTCAACTGCTTTCCCAGGCCACAAGCAGGGAGCTGGGTGGGAAGTGGAGCTGCTGGGATTAGAACCGGCACCCATATTGGGTCCCAGTGTGTGTAAGGCAAGGACTTCAGCCACTAGGCTATTGCACTAGGGCCTTTACTAACAGTTTTTAGCTTGACTTTTGTTTTCCCTGTGATTTGAGAAACTAGCAATTTTTAAAAAGCAGTTATTAGTTAACAGTATTGTTAGCCATGTTGTGACTTATTTTTCTTCCTTATGGTACACTAATGAATTTTCAAAACTTATCAGTGTGTTAGGACACATTGGAAAAGATGGTATTTAGTGATATCACTGTCAGCATTAGAGACAGTTATCTATAAAGAAACAGAATTTTTGTATGTTACTGAGATTAAATTGGTAAAATATTCTTTTCCAAGGAAACTGTTCCCTGGCTTATCCTAAAAAATTCTAGAGTGCAAGTTAGAGCCCTGGCAGCGTCTTAAGAGTGGATCGAATTGGTCCCTTTTTTTTTTAAAGTAATTTTATTTGAAAGGCTTAGCTAAACTGAAAGAGATCTCCCATTCATTGGTTCACTCCTCAGATATTGACCAAGGCCGGGCATGGGCCAGGCTGCAGCAAGGAGCTTTATCTGGGTCACTCACGTGGTTGAAGTAGTTCAGTAACCTGGGCCCTTGCCTCTGCTCCTCGCAGCCAGGACCATTGCGTGTTGGATGCTGTTTTTGCAGGTAGTGGCTTCCCATATCACTCCACAACAATGACCTTGAAGATGTGGACACTTGTAAAAGCCAGAGTTGTTTTACTAACAGTTTTTTTTAGATTTATCTATTTATACCACTGACACTGGTATAAATTCTAATTTGAGTGTTGCAGCCTTTGAAAATTAATTGTAAAATCCATGGTAACCGAAACCAGAAGAACTATAGGAAACACTGGAATGAAATAATTCCAATAATTCCAAATGTTTTGCCGCTGAAAATTTCAGCTTCGTATAGAAAAAACAAAAACAAAAAAATCCTGTAAACATTGGAAATACAAGCTAGAATGCTGCAAGGCATATAGAAAACAAATAACAAAATGATAGGAATAAGTGCTGTGAGCCTGGAAAGTAGCCTAGCGGCTGAAGTCCTTGCCTTGCACGTGCTGAGATCCCATATGAGTGCTGTTCTAATTCTTATGGCCCTGCTTCCCGTCCAGTTCCCTGCTTGTGCCCTGAGAACGCAGTCGAGGATAGCCCAAAACCTTGGGACCCTGCACCCGCATGGGAGACCCAGAAAGAAGTTCCTGGCTCCTGGCTTCGGCACAGCACAGGCCATTGCGGCCACTTGGGGAGTGAATCATCGGATGGAAGATCTTCCTCTCTGACTCTCCTCCTCTCTGTACATCTGCCTTTCCAATAAAATAAATAAATCCTTTAAAAAAATAGTAATAATTAGTAGGACAGTCGAATAGAATTAAGCCAAGAAACAGGATTTAACAGAGTGAATCTCTTAAAACGGGGTCTTATATGGGATATTACCCAGAACTGGTGGGCACATTCTTTGCAGGTGATATTGTGAACATACATGTGTCTCAGAGTGTGGGGCCTGATCATAGCTGGAATGACACTGGGCATCAGTAAGTGTCCACTGAGCAATGAATGACTAAGTAAAATGCAGTATATCCAGATGACGGTGTGTTACTCCACCTTAAGGGAAAAGCAAATTCTGGTGTAGTCTGTAGCCTGGGTAAACGTTGAGGACGGTAATGCTAGTGAGAGAAACACGGACACTGTGTGGTTCCACTTAGGAGTCCCATGGAGACAAAAAGGAGGGTGGGCACCAGGGACTTCAGAGAGAAGTGAAAGATTGATTAATGAGGATAGAGGAGAAAGTTCTGGATCTTAGTTACACAACGGTGTTGAACTATCCACTTGTAATGGGTAAGAGGATGCCACTATCTTCAGGACTTTTTCATCTTCCTCAAGTGAATCTGCCCAGGTCTACTAAGTCCTGAGTCTTTCACACCTGGTCTCTGGTAACCACTTTTGTACTTTCTGTCTCGGAAACATTGCTACCTGAGGTCGTTTTCCTGTGTTAAACACTAGCCCTGCATGTAGTAGATGTTCTATAAATTTCTGAATTTGATTTCCAGTAGGAACTGAAATTGTTTATTGGTGAATTGATTGTTTCTGATGTGAATGTAACCAGCTGCCTTACTGGTTTACAGGAGATGTTTTTTGATGTGGTTTACTTTCCATTTAGACTGAGTCTGGATACGGCTCTGAATCCAGCTTGCGCCGACATGGCTCGATGGTGTCGTTGGTGTCTGGAGCTAGTGGCTATTCTGCAACTTCCACCTCTTCATTCAAGGTCTGTGCTGTGAACAACCCTAATTTGTTGGTTTTTGTGAGATCTTTTCTAGAATGTAAATTTAATGAAGTTTTTAGGGGTTAGCTTTAAGGGGTAAAATCTTAGAAGTATAAAATGAACAATTCTCAAGATTTTTTGATTCATTGATCTAATATAAGATAGTAGATTTTAAAATTGATTTCATGGAGAACCTGAAAATTACTGAAATATTTTTGCTAGTACAAAAGTGATAATTGGCAAAGGCTGCATAGTTATGGTAAAAAATCAGCTCTCAGTTGTCTACTGTAAAACAGTTCAAATGCAGTTACAGGCAAGACCTTCAGTGTCATCAGAGCTCGCCTTCCCCTGGGAGTCCCATCATGAGTATAACCTTGACCTCAGAAGGACATCCAGCAGTGTTTGCCTATCTCAAAGGCCTTGGTGGGTTATTTGGTCACAATATCAAATTTAACAATAGAAAACACAGCATTAGCAAATAATCTTGCATTATTGTTTGTTTCCTACAGGATTGTCATTCTCAAGTGACAGCTTAGTCAGTTTTAAGCTTGTTTATAGGAATGTGACATTGAACTTTATGTTCTCCTTATCCCAAGCTCTCAGTGGTAGATTGCAGACCTTAAAAGGTGATGAAATGCAATAGGACCAAAAAAAGTCAAGTCTTGTTGGTTGAAATTGCCTCTTTTTGTGTTTCACAGAAAGGCCACAGTTTACGTGAGAAATTGGCTGAGATGGAAACCTTCAGAGACATCCTGTGCAGACAGGTTGATACTCTGCAGAAGTACTTTGATGCCTGTGCAGACGCTGTTTCCAGAGATGAACTCCAAAGGGATAAAGGTTAATCAGGCCATTACTGCTGCTTTGACTTAGCAGGTGCCAGCTTATAGAACCTGTAGGTCCGTAACATACTCCAGTGGGTGCTGGGACCAACATCTAGTCATTGATGTCATCATCCGTGTCAGATGCCATGGAAACTTTCAAATGGCTTTTACATTCAGAAATGCTGTTCTGGTAATTTGGAGTAATTCTTATTGTGTCTAAGGAATCCCTCGCGATGAGCCTTAGAAGAGATAAACATGTTAAATCCTACAAATATCTCTCTCTCTGGTCTCCTCCCTTCCTTTTTGTTCTGTCTTCTTTCCTTCTGTATTTCCCTCCTGCATGCCTACTGTTTATTTTAAGAAATAGATAGACTCACTTGCTAAATGCCACTGCTGGCTAGGAGCTCGAGCTTTGTCCAGATCTTACTTGAACGGCAGGGACCGACTATTCAAGGCGTCACTGGTTCTTCCTAGGGTGCTTGTTAGCAAAAAGGTAGAATCACAGCTGGCAGTGGGCGTCCAACCCAGTCACGCTGACACAGAACAGGCTTCCCAAGCAACGTCTTCACCATGGCCCTGAATAGCTCCTCTTCTTTGCCCCTGTCTCCCAACCTCTGCCCTTTTTTCACAAAGAGAAATCAATAGTGAAGTGACATACACAGTTAAATGCAATTTTACTTAAGGACTAGTGGTGTGGTACTGCAAATTAATCCATTGCCTGCAGTGTTGGCATCCCATTTGAGCAGGTTTGTGTTCCAGGTGCTCCACTTCTGATCTAGCTCCCTGCTAATGTTCCTAAACCGCAGAGGATGGCCCTCGTTCTGTGGGTACCTGTCACCCACAGAGACAGAAGAAACTATGGAGCTCCTGGCTGTTAGTTGCAATTTGCTCAAGCCCTGACCATTGTGGCCATTTGGGGAATCAACCAGCAGATAAAAGATCTTTCTGCCTTTCCCTTGCTGTAACTTCCTTTCAAACCAGCAGCCCAGGCCCAGGCAGCGGCTTAGTCTGCTACCCCACAACATGGGTCGCTCCTTACAAATTGTGAATCACAAATTAATGTATTTCATGATGAGAGATGCTGCACATGATCCCCTTGTTTGTCATACTTATTCTTTTGAACTGATGTTCTCTACTTAGCAGCTTATGAGAAAAAATAACTTTTTTTTAAGTGGGGTGAATTTTTTCCCTTACAGAGAAATATTTAGTGGATCTGAAGCTGAAGGTAGAGGAGCAGACATATATAACAATCCGGGAATGAGTAGGCTTATGTGAGATTATAAAATTGAAATTGTAACTTCATGGTGCCAAGGGATAACGGTACGAACGAAGTAGAGGTCTAAGTGAAGTGCAGGTGTTGCAGTGTAAGAACAGCTACCACACCAGTCTGCATTTGGTATCAGGAGAAGACAGCAATGTGTTAATTTTACAATTAGCCATATTGCAAATTATTGATGAGGAGCAGGCCCCTCTGGGAATTCACTCTGTGGACACGAGGAGCAGGTAATGGCAGATGTGAAAGAGCTGTTGTGAATAGGTGTTTGTTACCCAGGCATGAAGAAATGACAGTACAGAAACAGGTATTTTTTAGTGCAGTTCCTATCAGTTAGTCCAGAGTGAGAACAATGTTGAACTGGCTTCCAGGTCCCTGGGAAGGAGGCACAGTGCAGGTGTTTCCTTACAGAGGTTTGACATCGAGTGTGAGTTCAGGATGGACCTTTCTCTGCAGACATGGGGCTCCTCAATAACACACTTTGAAGTGGGTACGTATACCTGGTGGATCTCAGGGTAGAACCAAATCTAAACCTGAAACATTTATGTTTTGTACATGTGCTGTAGGCATAGCCTAAAAGTTATTCTTTCAGGATTTTAAAATTTTCAGTATTGTTTCCATAACTGAGAGGAATGCACACCTGTGTGATGGTGATGGAGAGGAAACTGCTTGCTGTCTGGGACTGGGGACAGTCCTTTGATGACGCCTTGAGACTTTCATATGGGAAAGAGTGTCCCAAATGGTTCTGAGATGGTGTTGGTTGTATTACAGCAGGGTTGAGAAAATGCTACCAAGGTCTGATGGCTGATCAAGTCCACCACAGCGTACATCCGCAGACCTGGACCCTTGCTGCAAAGACTGGCCAGGAAAGTTGTTGTCCATTCTCTGACAAGACACTCCATGTCCTCTACTGTCATGTCTCCTGTGTGCATCTGGGCCAGTTGTCCACTGCACAGGCATCAGCAACTGAAGATGCCCAGTTCTGATACATGCACTCCAAGGTCAGACCACATTATCTTGTGATTTTTCCCTGTGGCCAGGATTTGAGTTTAGCAGTTTAGTTGGGGAGTCCCCTAAGAAACATTACCTGGATTGACCTCTGACTGCACCAGCCAAAGCACATGCCTGGTCAGTTCCACCCAAGCCCGTCTCATGTGAACGGATGAGTGCTGCAGCCTGGCCCAGCCTGCCAGAGGTCTGGCCTCCACACATACCAGCAAGTGCTGCAGCCTAGTTGGACTGATCTCCAGTAGCCCTTACCAGGCCAGCTCTGAGCCCTGGTCTTTGCATGTGCTCACTGGTGGGAACTGAAGCCTTGTAAAGGATCTGTGTGCAATCTTTAGTGTGCCTGTGTTTTGCCCGCAGCCCATCACATGATGTCAGTTGTATTTTGTGTTTGTGCCATCTTGTCAGTGCTCCAAAAAGTTCAGATTTTTTGAATGTTTTATATTTAGGTTGCTCAACCTGTAAAATAAAGAGGTGCCAGAGTCCAACTCCAGCTGAGTTCGGAGCTCAAGAAGGGTGCGTGGAGTCAGCGATAAAGAAAGTCACAGACACTGTCCCTTGGTGCCTTCTTGCTGCTTTTTTTGCTTAAGAAGAAGCTGTCCTTCCTTTTTATTTACTTAGACACATCACAAGCTTCTGCACAAACATTTAATTTTTTTTATCTTTAATTTTAGAACTAAGACAGCATGCACAGATGTTCAATTAATTTTTACTTCATGGTCAACCAGGTGTTCTTAAAGATAATTCTGTAAGTTGCTATAATCAGTTTCTTTAAAGCAAGCTGTTATTCATTCTTCAGAAGTAACCATTAGGTGCCAGCCAGAACTCCAAGGCCGAGGCACAGATGGTTACCTACTAATCAGTAAAACATTCCTACTACATTTTATTTTCACAACTTTATCACTTTATGGGAGAAATACATCAAAAGAGAAAAAACAAGGATCTAAGACAAAAAGTTTCAAACATTAAATCTCTCCTACAACTGCAGGCTCTACAGGCTCATAAGCAATCAAACAGTAATCAAAAGTAAATCTCTATGATGTTAATAGAATCATCCTATATTTCCTCTAGTTAAAAAATTATGAAAGCGGCTAAAACAACTACATTTTCTATGCTCTAAAGAGTTGCAAGGACAAGCTAACCTTTAAGGTCACAGTAACCATATTTTTGCCGTAGCAGTTTCAGCTCTCACTCCCATCACTTGCATTAATATTTGGGATATTTATCAAGCCCTTTCCCAGAAGGTATGCTATATGTCTGAGCCAGATTTCAGGACAATGGGTAGGCACACAATAAGGTGTCCAGAAATGGCATGGGTTTAATTGTACTCCTGTGCGCAATTAAAGGCCCACCCACCAAGACATTATCAATGACATTAACTCTCAAGCTCATATTAGTTGCCAAAGCCATCTCACAGGGGCAAACAATGCCTCAATAGATTACAGAATTCTTAGTGGGGTGGTTGAGTGTCCATGCAACCAGGGGGTGAGACCACATCAAGGTGGTCAGAGAGAAATCCGCCGGGTCCTGCCAAACAACTGGAAGCTCCCCCGGGCCCTGCCAAGCAGGGGAACTGTTTTCTTCACACCTTCATGTCATCCACACCTACTGCACGGACCCCAGCAAAGAGGCTCAGTTGGGTCTGGCATGTGAGCTTGTGGTTGAGGTGCCTGTGTTCCATATTGGGGTGCCTAGTTTGATTGATTTTTTCCTAGTTTAATTCTTGACCCAAACTGCTTTGTGCTAATGTATAATATACACCCTAGCAAATATCAGTGTTGCCTTAAACAGTTGGGTTTGAAGACAGACCAAAGGAAAATACAAATGGATTTAATGAATCGAAATTGGTATCGCATATGCAAGAAGCTGTATTTTCCCTACAAGTGCAGCAAGAGTTGATGTAAGAGCTCCCAGTGGCTAGCTAGGGAAGTTATAGTCCTGCTCAAGCCCTGCTCGGCTTCTTGTATGGCTGTGAAATTGTCTATCTACAGATAGGAAGGCCAGGAGATACTACAGTTCATAATCACACACGAGAGTGGGCACAGTTTACTGATGCAGATGCTAAGTTTGTAGTGCGTGGGTTAAACCAGCACTTGGGGTGCTAGCCCCAAGTATCCAAGCATTAGTAGAAGCCCTAAATGCTGCACTTGGAACCCTTCGATGACCTGAGTGGTTGAGTCTCTGCACCCATCGGAGAGATGAGTTGGATTTCCTGGCCTCTGCGCTCAGCTTATTCCAGCACCAATGTAGCAGCCATTTGGAGTGTGAGCTCAAGAATCAAAGAGGGGTGTGTGTGTGTGTGTGTGTGTGTGTGTGTTTGTGTGTGTGTTTCTCACTGTGACTTTCAAATAAGTAAATAAAACAATCTTAAAAATAATATCTGTTGTATTTAAAGATATTACACAATGTATTTATTGAGCAAATGTTGATAATCAGTGAAAACACGAAAGGTGAAATAGATCTTATTCTCATAGACTTAAGTGTATTAACTCAGTTGAACATAATTTCTTTTTGTTTCCGTCATACTATCCTTAAGTGCTTTTCTGTCTTTTTAGTGGTAGAAGATGATGAAGATGACTTCCCTCTGACACGCTCTGATGGAGACTTCTTGCATAATACTAATGGCAATAAAGAAAAGTGTAAGTGCTGCATTTAAACATACTTTCTGAGGTTATATAATAGCATATTTTGTATTTGTATAATGTATGTAATGATATAATATATAATTGTATCAAAAATACACGTTTGTCCAGTAGTGACGATTACTGTTAACTAAAGGTTCTTTCTGAATTCTAGCCATAGATCCTTTTATTTCAGCAGTATGTATTAGGGGAGGGGAATCACGTGGTGAAACTTGAGTTGAATGTTTCTGAAGCACCTTTCTTCCTCCACTTGGTGTAATTGTTAAGAAGTGTATGAACAGTATTATGGTAAAGAATGACAAGGAGCTCTGGCCTCACGGCCCAGGTGCTTACAGACCCAGGACGATGGTGTGTTCTGGAAGAGGTTCATTGTCGCTCTGTTGGAGTGACTAACTCGTTGGAAAGAATTCTGAATTATTTGTCACAGTGATTCGTAATCCGTGTTTTTCTAGCATTCTCAAGAGTGAATATCTTTCAATTACAAGTGCATTTTGTTAATTACAAAAAAAAAATTGAAAACAAGCCTAATTTTGCTGAAATTACTGAAGAATATGAAATGAAACCTATAGTGATATCATATTTTCATATCAAATTTTTGGGTTGCTTTATGTGTGGAGGTTTTCTGTTTCAGAAGTCATTTAACAGTATTTCATTCTTTGTAATACAGTCTGGTGTCTTCTTATAATTTACTGCTTTCCTATTTCCTCATGGCACTCCCTTTCTTCTTTTTAATCTAATGATCTCACAGTTTATGCAGAATACAAGCTAAATATTAGGTCACATTATATAATCTGTCTATGTAAGTGTGGCTAATGTTGAACTTTATCAAATCATCTAGATTATTGTAATATTTATGGAATTAGAGGATTATTGTGGGAAGTTTTGTCGTGTGTTATTTTCACAATGAATAATCTGCTTTAATGGAAAAAAAATATATATGGACAGAAAGACATTATTAAACTTCCAGGCTGAATCCTCTTATTTATTTATTTATTTATACCTTATAAATAAGCGGTCAATGATGACAGGAGAAATGCATGATTGAAATCTGACTGCCTCCCTCTTCTGTGTTTCTGCAAGAACTGAAGTAGTTGGGACTAAATGAAAGTCTGTGTTCTGGAAGGTGCAATCCCTTGGCAGCTTTCCATATTCTGTGTCCAGAATGCCTATAAATAAGGTGTTTATTGCTGATACAGAAGGTAAAGTGTGTGGTCCCAGAGCTCATACTTAGAAGTAGAGTGCTGCCTCAAGCCCAGCAGTAAAAGGCTCTATACAGTGCGTGCAGACCTGTCAGCCCGGCTCTCAGGTGGGTGCCAGCCAGCCCCTGGAGTCTGAGGACAGCCTCCTGCACACAGACTGACATGGAGACCAGAGCAAGGGATGCAGAAAGCAGAAGGAGATTGCCTTAGTAACAAAAACCCTGACATGAGAAAGCTCTAGGAAATTAGAAGTTATAAAAGTAAAAATTTAAAATATTAATGCAAAGTTGGTCGATAATATTGAGAAGTCCGGGAAAAAAAAAAGCTGAAGAATGAGAAGTTTGAGCACCTGTCCAGTAGACCAGCATAGATAGGATTTATGTGAAAAAAGAGGAGAACAGAAAATGGCAGGGGGAAAGTTACTGAAGAGCTACTGTAGGGCAGTTCCGCAAAGCTAAAGGTTTCAAGTCTGGATTGAAAATAAAAGCTGTGAACACCCAGCTTATTGAGTGTGGTTAGAGAGGTCAACAGTGCCTTCACCAAGGTGGTAAAAACAGTATACAGTAATCAGTGAGAAAATGTTGCTTTTCTGAAAAGATCAAATTTTACAACCCTTTGGCCAAATAAGCAGGAATAAAATGGCTGTAATCCAATATGAACAGAAGAGCATAACTGAAAAGTGTAGGGGAGTGCTGTAAATGCAGGGAGTCTTGGAGTGTAGGGGAGTGCTGTAAATACAGGGAATAGGGGAGTGTAGGGGAGTGCTGTGAATGCAGGGAGTAGGGGAGTGTAGGGGAGTGCTGTGAATGCAGGGAGTAGGGGAGTGTAGGGGAGTGCTGTGAATGCAGGGAGTAGGGGAGTGTAGTGGAGTGCTGTGAATGCAGGGAGTAGGGGAGTGTAGGGGAGTGCTGTGAATGCAGGGAGTAGCGGAGTGTAGGGGAGTGCTGTGAGTGCAGGGAGTAGGGGAGTGTAGGGGGTATGGGGGAGTGCTGAATGCATGTGCAAGAAGTTGAATGACACTGATGAAGCTGACAAAATTATGGAAGGGACAGAAGTTCTCAATGTCATCTGTCTTGCTGGTGGAATAAAGACCAAAACTGTAAAGTTTTTAATAAAAAAACGACTATGAAGATTCTGAAACTAACTTCTCATTTAAGAGTAAAAGATAGAGTACTTTCTGACATGTGAAGTATTAGCCATTTGAACCATTATGCCAGCCCGAAGATGCCATAAGGAATCCACTATATGTTAGAACGGTAGATGGTTTCAACAAGGTGTTAAGCTGTGAAAAATGAACTGTAGCAGCAAAAGCAACAAATATACTTAGAAACACGTATTATACTGTGAAGACCTAAATAAATAGGAAGGCACTACATATCATGAATGAAGACTGTTAATTCATACTGACCAAATTGATACATAGGTCTCATGCAGTTTATGGAAATTCAAGAGGATTTTTACAGAAATTAACAAACTGATCCTAAAATTCATAAAGATAGGTAAGGGCTCCAGAATCACCAGAAAGTCTTGAAAAAGGATACACAATTGCCCGGTGATGTGGCTCAGCGGCTAAAGTCCTCACCTTGAATGCACCCCGGGATCCCATATGGGTGCCGGTTCTAATCCCAGCAGCTCCACTTCCCATCCAGCTCCCTGCTTGTGGCCTGGGAGAGCAGTAGAGGATGGCCCAAAGCCTTGGGACCCTGCACCCGTGTGGGATACCAGGAAGAAGTTCCTGGATCCTGGCATAGCACTGGCCGTTGCACTCACTTGGGGAGTGAATCATCGGACGGAAGATCTTCCTCTCTTTCTCTCCTCCTCTCTGTATATCTGACTTTGTAATAAATAAATAAATCTTTTTTAAAAATTTTAAAAATCCAAGGATATACAGTTGGCTGTTTCTTAACTTTGCACACAATCGCAATGATCAGAACAGGGTGGCCTGGCATTCACTGGCCCCACAGAGTGCGGAAGTAAACTGCACTGTGCTCAAGGCAGCTTCCCAAGAACACCAACAAAGTTCACTGTAGAGACAGAGAAAACTGCAGCCACAGGTATCTGTATGTAAAATATTTAAGTTACAGATAACAAAAGTTAACTCAAATTGCATCACAGGCCTAAGTATCAGAACTAAAACTGTAACATTTTTAAAGGAAAAAAACACAGGCCTAAAGCTTTATGACCTTGGGTTAGGTGAAATCAGGCAAAGCATAGATGGTGCCATCCTTCGGTTTCAGTGAGATACCATGTCTGACTGCAGTGTGTCAGGAGCCATGGGACATGTCTGCCTTAGAAACATTTGAACATTGCATGCTTGTTTTAATTTAGCAAGTGCTTTGGGGTTCTAGTTAACTTTTTCCATGAAAGTGACTATGTTGTACATTGTGATAGAAGGACTGAGGGAATAAAATCAGAGCAGCCAATACTGATGGGTGACACCGGGCAGGTGACAAATTATCTTGAGGTTCCCCTTCACCTTTCTGACTTTCCAACTATTTAAAAAGCTTGAAAATCTGTTACATATCCTCTATATCACTGTGAAAATTATCTGAGGTAGCTATTTTTGAAAGTAGAAAGTACAGTTAAAGTGTACATTCTGTATTTCTGGAATTTTTCCAAAGACATGTTATTTTGTTCCAAAGACATGTTATTTTGTTCTGACCTGACTTTTTTTTTTTTTAAAGATTTATTTATTTATTGGAAAGTCAGATATACAGAGAGGAGGAAAGACAGAGAGGAAAATCTTCCGTCCGAGCGTTTCACTCCTCAAGTGAGCGCAACAGCCGATACTGTGCCGATGCTATGCCAGGATCCAGGAACTTCTTCCTGGTATCCCACACGGGTGCAGGGTCCCAAGGCTTTGGGCCATCCTCTACTGCTCTCCCAGGCCACAAGCAGGGAGCTGGATGGGAAGTGGAGCTGCTGGGATTAGAACCGGCACCCATATGGGATCCTGGGGTGCATTCAAGGCGAGGACTTGAGCCGCTAGGCCACACCGCTGGGCCCTGTACTGACTTTTAAGTGTACAAATTGGCAAACTTTTAGCAATAAATGTTCTTTATTACATTACACATACTGTCATAAAACTAGGCATGTTTGAATTTCTTTATTGATTTTTAATATGTTAATTTTTAAAGTAATAATCTTGGTAACAGTGATGGAAAATATGCAAGTTAACAATGTTCATATAACTGACGTACTGTTTAAAATGTACAGTTTAATGAACATGTAGGTATTTTATGAACCATCTGTCAGCTCAAAATTTATTCTTGTCATCCTTCACTCTGAAGCAGTTATAGGTGATTTTAGTCCCTATAAACTGATTTGCCTTTTTGTATAAGTTACCATAAGTGAACTCATAGTGCACCTTCCTTTTGGCCTGGCTTCTTTGTCACTTGAAGACTGTCCTTTATTTATGTCTCATTGCTGAATAATGTTCTCTTGTGTAGATGTACTGCAGTTACCAGTTTGTCTACTTCTTACAAACAAAGACCACTAGCTACAACCATTTGTCCTTGAATGAGCATACATGTCATTTCTTTTGGGTTTAATACCTAGCAGTGGAATGACTAGATCATATAGTAGATGTTTTAAAGAAAATGTCAGATATTTTCTGTATGAGGTTCTGTTTCTTCCACATTCCCCCCACAATATGTGGTATAGCCAGCTTTTTAAAATGTTAGTTGTTTAGTAAATGTGAAGTGGCGTCTCATTATGGCTTTATAGATATTTCCCTCAGAACAACTGCACTATCTTTTGTGTGTGATTTGCTGTGTGTGCCTCCTTGGGTGAAAGGTGTTCACAGCCTTTGCCTGACTTTCTCAATTGGATTATTTGTTTTCCTGTGTTGACTTTTGAGGTTATTCGGTACGTTCTGGTGATAAATCCTTTACTAACGTGTGGGATGCAAAGCTGTTCCTGCCTGCTTGTAGCTTTCCTCTTAATTCTCTTACCAGTGTCTTTAACACCAAAATTGTAAATATTGGTGAAGTATAATTGATCATTTTATTCTTCATGGATTATTCTTTGATGTTGTTATCTATGTAGGAGTTTTCTGAGCAGAAGTGTCATGGCCTCATTGAGCTGCATTAGAATGACTTTGTTGACTGTTTAGTAAGATATTAGCTCTCTTTGCCTTTTGTGAGTTTTAAAATTTTTTCCATTGTTTCATTTAAATTAAAATTACAAAATGTAACCAGAATCTATTTAACATTTACATTGGTCTGGACTGAAACTTGAATATTTGTTTTGATATTTTATCTTACCTTGTAAAACTTTCACCTTCAAGTGTTTTTTAAATTCTGGAGTTCTTCGTATGTCAAGTCACTCTTGCCATAGTTAGGTTGCCGTGAGTGCTGTGTGAGTGCTCCGCCTACCACTTGAAGGACTGGGTGCAACACAGCAAGCAGAGTCCAGGAAACAGCCTGGAGAATAGGGCTGCAAAGTACGTGCTGCCAGAGTGTGTTTGCTGAGAGCAAGGATGGAAGAAAAATTATTAGCCACAAATGTTGCTAGTTTACTAAATACTTTTAATTTTAAATTATGATAAAGAATTATTCATTAGATTTTTAGTAAATACCTTTCTTTTTCAGTATTTCCACATGTCACACCAAAAGGCATTAATGGTATAGACTTTAAAGGGGAAGCGATAACGTTTAAAGCGACTACTGCTGGAATCCTTGCTACACTTTCTCATTGTATTGAACTCATGGTAAAACGTGAGGAGAGCTGGCAGAAGAGACATGATAAGGTAAGCCTTTCTTCCTCTTAAAAGTAATGTGATTTTATTTCAGTTTTATATATTGAATGAACATTTAGCCATGAAGTACTGGACTGATGGAAGTAGCAGGCAGTGTACAGCTCTTTGGAGACCTGCAAGAATCTTAAATTGGTTTTTCTGACAAGATTTCCCATTCAGTTATTTAGTTACCTATGGTATTCCTTCTTGGCAGGATTTAATCTAGGCATTCTATGATAGGGTTAGTTTTGCTCTGAGATAGGGGTTTTGAGCCATACCAAATTTATAGTTTGTGGCTTGTAAAACTTGTAAAAGTGGACCTCAGTTGTCTGAACTGTTTTAAGCCCAATTTATATAGTTAAACATTTACTTACTACCATCCTAACTGTATTTCCCAGGGTCATTCTGATATCAGATAGCTCACGTTGTGTTGTTTGAACCTTCCCTGTGCTCACATTTTCCCACCTTTGTTTAAATAGTAGCTCTGATAATACATTGAGTATGAATAAAATTAGTCCCTAGTGTGAAGTGAATGTTTCCTGGGAAAACCTCTCTTTAATATATATAACTTATATATGTAATTCAATTTAATAAAGTAGTGAAATGTTAGAAATAAAAACATACCTAGACTCTTGTTCTAGTCTGATTTTTTTTTTATTATTATTATTTTTTATTGGAAAGGCAGATATACAGAGAGGAGAGACAGAGAGGAAGATCTTCCATCCGATGATTCACTCCCCAAGTGAGCGCAACAGGCCGATACTATGCCGATCCGAAGCCAGGAGCCTCTTCCGGGTCTCCCACGCGGGTGCAGGGTCCCAAAGCTTTGGGCCGTCCTTGACTGCTTTCCCAGGCCACAGGCAGGGAGCTGGAAGGGAAGCAGGGCTGCCAGGATTAGAACCGGCGCCCATATGGGATCCCGGGCGTGCAAGGCGAGGACCTTTAACCACTTGTGCCACCGTGCCGGGCCCTAGTCTGATTTTTTAAACACTTTTTATTTTTATCTGAGAGACAGAGTTACAGAGAGGAGAACCAGAGAAAAGGAGAGATCTATCCACTGGTTGACTCCCCAAATGGCCACAAGTTCCAGGGCTAAGCCAGTTCAAAGCCAGGAACCAGCAGCTTCTTTCAATTCTCCCACATGGTGCAGGGGCCTAAGATGTTGGCCTATTGTCTGCTGCTTTCCCAGGTCATAGGTAGGGGAGCTGGATGGAAAGTGGAGCAGTCAGGACACTAATTGCCAACCATGTGAGATGCCAGCACTACAGGAGATAAGCTAGCTAAGCCACCATGCTGACCACCTCCCAACAATACTGTTTTTAAATGAAAGAAGGATCTGCCTTCCCTATGCTTGCCCAGGAGTGTTAGGGAGCAGCTAGACTGCATCTCTGGTTTTCAGGCTTCATACCAGTCAGTGCCTTCTCACTCATCAGTGAGTTTGTGGCTTGCAGTGTTTGAAGGTGTTTCCCGTTTGAGCAAGACACTGAAAAAAAGCTACCTCACCCAATGTGATTATAGAGTGGCCACAGTTTTGAGTAATAGTAATGTGTCCAAGAAGATTGTTGTGTTTGACAACTGAATCTTTGGTGTTGGAGCAGAGTGAGCAGATCGTGTTAACTAACAGACTTGTCTTAAGCTGTGTAGGGTCCCAACACGGTAGCCTAGTGGTTAAAGTCCTGGCCTTGCATGCACCAGGATCCCATATGGGTGCCGGTTCTAATCCCTACGACCCCATTTCCCATCCAGCTGTCTGCTTGTGGCCTGGGAACGCAGTCAAGGACGGTCCAAATCCTTGGGCCCCTGCACCTGCATGGGACCCCGGAAGATACTTGGGGCTCCTGGCTTGGTATCAGCACAGCTCCAGCTGTTGCAGTCACTTGGGGAGCGTATCAACGGATGGAAGGTCTTCCGCTCTGTCTCTCCTCCTCTCTGTGTATCTACTTTTCCAATAAAAATAAATAAAGCTTTTAAAAAAAAGGCAGTGTATTAGCCTTCTCTTATGTTCTTGATGATGTGTATCGAGGCCGTTGATGGCTCAGGTACTTCGGTCCCTGCTGTTCACACAGGAGACTTGGATGCAGTTTCTGCCCTGCCAGCTATTCCTGGCTGGGGGGGAGTCGACCAGGGATGGATGATTTCTTTCTTTTTTTTCTTCTCTCTCTCATCTTTGTCATTTTTTTAAAGATTATTTTTATTGGAAAAATCAACAGAGAAGGAGACAGGAGAAATAAAGACCCCCAAGTGGCCACAGTGGCCAGAGCTCAAGTGATCTGAAGCCAGGAGTCAGGAGCTTCTTCAGGATCTCCCATGTGGGTGCAGGGTCCCAAGGCTTTGGGCCGTTCTGCACTGTTTTTCCAGGAAACAGGCAGGGAGCTGGATGGGAGGTGGAACATCCGGGACACAAACCGATGCCCATGTGAGATCCTGGCACATGCAAGGCAAGGATTTAGCTACTAGGCTACTGTGCCGGGCCCACCTGATTCACTTTTTAAATGCTACAGCACCTAGGACCAAAGCTTGGAACCAGTCATTCATCTAGGTCCCCACAAAAGTGTTATCACCACTGCCTTCCAGGGTCTGTATTAGCAGGAAGCTACAGTCATTGAAACCAGGTGTCTCAGTGTCTTAACCAATACCTAAATTGGGAGGCTGAATTTCTGCCCTTTACTCACTTTTTTAAGTTAAGGTATACTATATGTAGATGGAAGTGCACCAATCTTAAAACTGTTTGTTTTGTTACATGTTGATAAGCACTGCACCCTGTCAGATTGGACTTTTGTAGCTCCCTAGAAGAGAACTCACGCCCTTTCCTTAGCCATACCAGAGGTGACCACATGGGTTAGTCAGTTTTTCCATGTTCTACCTGTAGTTGAGAGGAGTTACTTAGGAAAGGAGAACATTGGTGTCAGCTTGCAGTTTGGAGGCTCCAGTCCCAGAGTGTGCAAGCCCTTTGGGTTATGCGTCTGGTGAGGTGGGAAAAGATGACAGGACACCGGAAGTACATTTTCTGTCTCTGTGTGGTCCTCCCACGTAATACCTGGATTTGATCATGGGGTTTTATTTCATCTGTAGTCTGTGGAGGAGCATTGGTTGTTGATAAGACTGCTTAATATTTTGACACATAGGTTTTGGTGAACGTAGGTACCACCTTCTCCCGATTATACACCTGGGAATAGAATTGTTGATTTGTAGACTATGTACTTAGCATTAGTGAATAACAGAAAGGGATTTTCCAAAGCTTGTTACGTTGATGTGTATTGCCATCTGCATATGAGAAGTCCACTTATCCTTCCTTCTTGACAGCATTGTTAAGAAAGGTTGGGGCGGGGTGAGCGCGGAGCTGTGGTGGGACAAGTTAAGCTGTAGCTTGCAACACTTCCATCTCGGAGTGTCTGGAAAGTCGTGGGTGATGGTTGGACTACTGGGGTCCCTGCCAGTCATGTGGGATACCAGGATGGATTTCCTGGCTCCAGGCCTTGGCCTGGCCAGGACCTATCGTAGCCATTGGTGGAATAAAGCAGCACTTGGAAGATCTCTTTCCACTCTGTTTTTTAAGTAATAAACAAACAAGTCTTTAGAGTTCCTTGGTATCTTCAGTTTTAGTCACTCTGATTAATCTTTGTTCTTCCTTCATACACAGAAATCACCTAGTGAAATCACTGGAGCCAGTGAGCTAATTCAGTGCTTTTCACTAGGTTTTATTCCGAGATGAGATGCAGAAGCAGTTACCTTTGCTCAAGTTCTCTGGATTTTTAGGGTTTTATTTACTTTCATTTGAAAGGGGGCAAGAGAAGAAGTGAGAAACAGAGATCTTGCATGTGCTTGTTCACTTCCCAGCTGCTCCCACAGCCAGGGTGGGGCCAGACCAAAGCCTGGATCCCAGAGTTCCATCCGTATCTCTCTATCTCTGTTCCCACTGTTGGTCACAGAAACCCATCTGCTGCTTCCCTCAGCATGTGTTTGCAGACAGCTGGATCCCACGCAGAGTGGCGTGGAACACAATCCAGTCCTCCCACGTGCTTGAGTTCTCCAGCTCTCCACTGGCTCCTCACCAGTGTCTACAGTAGCAGGTGTGTAACTCAGCTGTTCTGCTGAGGGAGACAGGTGACCAACTGGTGTCTCAGCCTCTGTGCCAGATATCTCCCCCTGGTGGAAACGTCAGTGGTGGCATGAAAGTAATACATAGCAGAGGAAAGACTTCCATGAGACAGAACTATATTCTGCTTTTTTCAAGAAAGCAGATTATAAAATAGTACTGAACTGCAGAGGAAATCTACCTGAAAGACTACACTATAATTAAAATAAAATGTCCATTTTATGTGTTATTTTTCATTTTGTTCTCTTAATAGGAAGTTGAGAAGAGAAGAAGAATAGAGGAAGCATACAAAAATGCGATGACAGAACTCAAGAAAAAATCCCACTTTGGAGGACCGGATTATGAAGTATGAATTTAAATTTTGATCTTAAGAAGAAAAGCATGTGAGCTGTGTCACAGATGAGATTGATTTTTAAATACTTTTGCAATCTTGGGATATTCTGAATATGTCATTTGTTCCTCATCATTTCAGTCGATGTATAGCATCATGTTTGAACTCCAGGCTCACACTGACGTGTTTGTTGCCTTCAAAGTTTAACCTAGACTTTAAAGGATTCAGGATCACGTTTAGTCAACAGGACAAGTTCCTTTTTTCTGTTCTGAAGCTCATTTTTAATGTTATCTACTTTTTCTAAAAGGATTTATTTATTTTTATTAGAAAGATTTACAGAGAGAAGGAGAAACAAACATCTTCAATCCATTGGCCCACTTCAGTCTGCTGGTTCACTCCCCAAGTGGCTGCAATGGCCGGAGCTGAGCTGATCTGAAAGCAGGAGCCAGGAGCTTCTTCTGGGTCTCCCATGCGGGTACAGCGTCCCAAGGCTTTGGGCCGTCCTGCACTGCTCTCCCAGGCCACAGGAAGGGAGCTGGATGGGAAGTAGAGCTGCCAAGGACATGATCTGTTGCCCATTCGGGATCCCAGCAGATGCAAGGCAAGGATTTCACCACTGGGCTTTTACGCTAGGCCAGCCACTTTTATTCTTGCTGATTAGCAGAGTCTGCTTTTCATGTTTATTAGTTTTTAAAATTTATTTGAAAGGCTCCCTGCTTGTGTTTAAAGACACAGACACAGAAATCTTCCATCTTAAGTAGCCAGACTGAAGCCAGGAACCATGAACTAAGCTCTTCTGCATGGTGGCAGGAATCAGTGAATGCGATAGAGCCCCTGGCTGCTGCCCCCATGGTGTACATTAGCAGAAGCTGCACTCGGAGTGGATAGGCGCTGGAACCCAGACGTTCTACATCCCAGGCAGCCTTGGCATTGAACCAAATGTCCATTCCCTGAGTGTTTTTTACGTTGGAATGGATTTCCTACTGTGTAACTTCATAATGATTAGACTTGTGTTGCAGTATTCTGAAATTGTCAATTAGTTTTTGTAACATCTGTGTAAATTACATAATTAGTTTTCCTTGGGGGTTTTTAAAGTCCAAATCACTGAAATATTAGTTATTACAGTGATTTTTTTCTCAGATTTTAGGTTTTGAAAGAAGTACTACTTTTTAACTATGCTTGTCAATCCTTTGTGTTTAGTTACTTCCTTAGACTTTGAGTTTTTCTGATTGATTTAGAAGATATATAGAATTTTCCTTTCATTTTTACAGTTATTTTCTTCAGTAGCATTGTTGGTTTTATCAGAGGACTAACTTCCATGCAGTTCATCTCTATCTTTGGTGTCCCTTTTTTAAAAAACTCGTTTGCAAGTCAGTGTGAGACAGAGACATGGAGACTTCCGTCACTGGTTCAATGGCCAGGTGGCTGTCAGACTGAAGCCAGAAGCTTCTTTTAGATCTTCCACATGGCTATCTGGGTCCTAAGCACTTGGACTACTTCACTGCTTTTCCAGCCATTAGCAGGGTGCTGGATGAGAAGTGGGGCAGTCAAATGGGATGCCAGCATCATAGGCAGCAGTTTTCTACCGTGCCACACTACCCAGCCCCTATATTTGAAGATTTATTTATTTTTATTTGAAAATAAGGAGAAGAAACAGAGAGGGCTTCTATCTGTTGGTTCACTCTCAGAGCTGAGCTGATCCAAAGCTGTGTATCGGGAGCTTCTTCCAAGTCTACTCCCTGCATGGAAGGACCCAAGGCCTTGAGCCGTTCTCCGCTGCTTTTCCAGGCACACCGAAAGGGAAGTGGATTAGAAGGCTTTTCCCCATAAGATAGATGACCAAAATCACAATATCAGTAGGTAGAGTAAAGAGACACTGATGAATTAGGTCTCTGGAGCAGCACAGGTTCCCTGCCTGTCCAAGGCTCTTAACCACATGAACTGAGATGTAAGTAAGTACAGTGATGGCAGCAGGGTTATTTGGAGAGAGCAGCTGCTGACGGTCTTTGACTGGCTTAGAAACATAACCCACTGTAAGCATTTATTCTGCTTTATGGTGGTACCAAAGCAGTATGCCCTCAGCAGGAAAGGTCCCTGGGGCTCTGGCTTGGACTGTGGCTGTGTTGGCCTCATGCAGCACTATGGCATCTGTCAGGAGACTGGGAGCTGGTGAAGGTGACAGCCAGTACTCTGTGTTGGGGCATCCAGGCACCTGCTGTGTTGAATGCTCTCCAATTTGCAGAGCTGGCGGGTGATAGTAGGTTGATTGGATGAATCCTGTTGATAGTTGAGGAACAGTCAAGTCAAGGATGGGAAAGAAGAAAGGACCTGGTTGCAGAGATACCCCAAGAGAATGCTTGGAGTGGGAGGGATCTGGAGCAGGTGTTGACGTTTAACGTAAGAAATCCTCTGCGAGCAGAAGACAGAAGAAGCAGAAGAAGTGTCTGTTGATTTAGCTACAAATAGCTTTTCTCCTTGATATATGTGGTGAAATGAAAGGGTATTTTTTTAAAGTTCTTTTTTTAAACATTGTTTATTTCAGTAAATTCAAGATGTCCCATCTGTAAATGTCCCCAGAACACCAGGGGCAGAATAGGGAGGTGATGTGTCAAAGCCTGAAGTCTAGAACTCCATCTGCATCTCCCACGTGTCAGGGACCTGACTGCGCCCTTCAGTGGTGCGCTTTAGCAGGAAAATACAGTCAGGGGCACTGTGATGTCTCAGTGGGCATCCCATATGGGCAGTAGTCAGGTTCCAGCTGCTCCACTTCCTGTCCAGCCCCCTGCTTGTGTCCTGGGAAAAAGCAGAGGTTGATGGCCTAAAGGTTTTTTTTCCCCCACATTTTATTATTATTGCTATCATTTTACGATACAGTTCCATATTCCCTTATCCCCTCCCCAATTCTCCCCCCCCAGTTCCTTTATATCATTACTAACATATAGTTCTTCATACTCAGTCATATGTTCATCATTGCGGGCATGGACAATGGCAGAGAGTCCAGAATCCTATTGTCAAAATATAATATAAACAGTTTCACTGTAAGTCCATCTTTGTCTGGAAACAGAGATGCATACCACACTGCATCCTCACATCTGGTTGTTAGTCTCCATTACATAACTACTGTACATTCCCTTAAATGAAAAGTCATGATACAAAATCAACAATAGAAAGAAAAATAGAAATTTACAATGCCATGAAGTTAAATGACATGTTACTAGATATGACAGTCTCCATTACACAACTACTATACATTCCCTTAAATGAAGAGCCGCAATACAAAATCAACTTCCGGGAGAAAAAAGAAATTAACAACAGCAAGAAGTTAAACAAAATGCTATTAAATGTATAACGTGTAGCTGAAGAAGTGAAAATCAAGAACCTTCTTGAAGAAAATGATGCCACTGTATGATCTACGAGTCATTGAATGATTTAATCAGGAGAAAGTGTTTTGAAGAGATGAAACCAACAGAAAACAACAAAACCCATGTGATAGAGTTTCCGCTGATCTTTGTTGGAGTGTGTCTCCTCCCAAGAATAAACAGATGGGTTTTGTTTTTTTAATCCAGTCTACTAATATGTGATGTTTGATTGAGCTTAAGCAATTTACATTTAGAGTTAAATATACCTAGGTGGTACTTTGGTCCTGTAATTTTAGGAATGGGTTGTTCATTGATTTAGTTTTCTGTTGTCATTTTACTGGGATGTTCTTCCCGTTTGCCTTTGGTTTTGGTAGGTGCTATTCCTCTTCTCTGTCAAGAGAACATCTTGAAGTATCATTTGTAGAGCAGGTTTGGAAGAGGCAAATTCTTTTAGCTTTTCTTTACTCTGGAAGAATTTTATTACATTTTCAAAGACGAAAGAAAGCTTTGCGGGGTATGTTATCCTAGGCCGACAATTTTTTTCTTTTAGAATCTGGAATATGTCACTCCATTCTCTTCTTGCCTGTAGAGTTTCCTGTGAGAGATCTCCTGTGAGCTTAATTGGCCTTCCTTTATATGTTAATTGATGTTTTTCACGTGCACATTTAAGGATCTTTTCCTTATGTTCAATTGAAGAGAGCTTAATAATCATGTCGTGGTGAAGATTGCTTTTGATCAAGCCTGTTGGGAGTTCTGTGCCCCTCCTGGATCTTGTTTCCCAATTCTTTCTCCAGATTAGGGAAATCTTCCTTGATTATTTCATTAAGTACATTTGTAACTCAGCTTCTCTTTCTGCACCTTCTGGGACTCCCATAACTCTTATATTTGGCCTCTTAATAGTGTCTTTCAATTCTTGAATACTTTTTTTGGCCTGATCCAGCTCTGCTTCCAGCTTTTTGTTTGCTTCCCCCTGGTGACAGGAGATATCTGCCAATGCTGAGATTCTTTTTTCTGCTTGCTTCATTCTATTTTGGAGACTCTCCACTGTACTTTTAATTTGCTCTACTGTGTTCTTAATTTCTGATATACCAGCCTTGATTTGCTTTACTGCTTCCTTAAATTCTTTGAACTCTTGCATTAACTTCTCATTTTTGACCAGAATCTTTAAAATGAGTCTTATGGATTCTGTGTCCCCCATTTTCTCAATGTCTTCCTCAGTTAACTCTGAGGTTGGCATAGGGTTTTGCTCCTTTGCAGGGGAGTTTTCAGTAATATTCATTGTGCCTTTGTCTCTTCTTTTGCTCTTGATCATTGTACTTCTGGTTATCAGAGTCTTCTTCTTGGGGCAGGTTTCTAAGCTGTGTGACCCACAGGTCTACAATGCGATTTTACTTATTGCAGTTGATACACAACTTTTTGCTTGCAGCCACTGGTGCCACAACCCCCAGCGAGTTCCAGGTCTGGCTTCTTATGTCAGATATCCACCGTGGTCTCCACAGCCCCAGCTCTTGGCTCACCACTCTCCAACTCCTGTGATACCGTGCTGAGGCTGCACTGTTGTCTCTGCAAACTTTCTCTATCTTCTGGTTGGAGTGTGTTCCAGGATTAAAGAGATACCAGGTGTACTATCTAGTTAGGTTGTTGGTGGCGCTGATCTTGGTGGACCTGTTTTGACCGGTACGATGCCACAGTCGGTATTATTTTCCTGCGGGACCTCAGCAAGTTCTTGTGAGCTCAGCACATGTGCAGTTCACTGTTGTCCCCTGCAGTCCCAAAGCTATTGCCACAGTGCGCAAAATGGTACCCGACGTGCTACCACAACAGTTCTGCTGGGTGTCAGATCCAAGGGCTACCCAGACCTACCCCGGATGGAACCCGTAGAATGCCACGTCATTGCAGTTCACCGAGTCAGAAATGAGCTCACTCCCCACTCAGAGCATGCTCAGTCCTTTCCCTTGCCCTTTCCTCCTTAGGCAAAATGGCGAACACTTCAGCTCTAAGGGGCTGACTGGGCTATGAAATCCTCGCTGTTCTCGCACTACCCGCCTGGGATCTGCTGCTCTGTCTCTGCTCCTGGTCAAATCAAACGGACCAGCAGGACAGACAGTTCTTTGTCTGGGTTCACCTCCCAAGCTCCCAGTGAAAGTCCCTTCCCACCTGGTTGCTGGTTCCGGCCGTTGGTGGAGTTTAGATCACCGTGCTGGAATATCATTCACTGCGACACCACACCGCTGTGCCCGCTGCTTTCCTGTGTCTGTCAGTCTCCAAGTACCTCTCTGTTGTTGTTCTGTGCTTTCGTATTTCCTGAAATATGTCCTCTCTGCTTCATTCTGGTTAAATGCTTCTTCCTCCGTTAAAACGTGTCCTTACCCTATTCCGCCATCTCGATGGATGGCCTAAAGTTTTGACCCTGCTTGTGCATAGGAGACTCCAAAGGAGTTCCTGGCTCTTGTCTTCAGATTTGTTCAACTCTGGCCATTGCGGCCATTTGGTAAGTACCCAGCAGATATAAGGTCTCTGTCTCTTCTTCTGTCTGTAAATCTGCCTTTACAATGAAAATAAATAAATTTTGAAAAGATAGATTCAGAAGCAGAATTTGGCAATGATGCTAACCCAGACAGTCCCTTATGGCTGCAGGATCCTAAGCACCCAACCATTAGACCTGATGCCAATCCCTGTACTTCATACTTTCCTGTTCTCATATAGCTGAAGTCCCACTTGTCTAAGAATAGTTGACTATATGTACTTGGTTTCTCCCCAGTACCTTGTGAAAAGTGGTTTCTTGAGACAGTAGGTTAAGCTGCCACTTGGGATGTCTGTATCTTGTCCTGGAGTGCCTGGGTCCTGTCCTACCTTCACCATATTTCCTACCCAGTTTCCTGCTAATGTGCTGGAGGGCAGCAGTGATGGCTTAACTGCTTAGGTTCCCACAAGCAAGGTCCAGCTGGAGTCCTTGCTCCTGGTTTCAGCTTAGCCTAACCCTGACAATTATAGATATTTAGGGAAGTGAACCAGTGGGTGGAAGATCAGTTTCCCTCCCTCCCTCTCTCTCCATCCCTCTTTTTCCAATAAATAAATCTTTTTTAAATAAACTGATATCTGGGGGGTCAGAGCCTAGGAATTTTCATTCTAACAGGTTCTCCAAGTGATTAATGCCATTCTGCCGTGTAACCAGTCCCTGAAGGCTCAGTGTGTGTTTTCTTTCTCCTTTGGAAGGCCACTCTAGGAGCTAGTGTGTAGTTTGCATTGGCTGTGGACTTGCTGTAACTCTGTGCTGCTCTGCATCCATCTCTGCGGTTGCAGAAGCGCTGTTGGTAGCAGTAGATGACTGTGTGTGGTTGGTTACTGCACACAAACATTTTGGTCTTACCATGCCAGGAAGTGATTGTGTGTGTGTGTGTTTTCTAACAACTTAAACCCTTTGGCCATTCAAAGGAAGGAGCAGTCTGCTCTTCACCATGCCTTTTCCTGTTACTCTAACATATGTATGATGTGGATTTCAAAGTTTATTGTGGGCACTAGTTTCTTCAGATCCATGCATACTTTTTCGTAATTCTATTTTGAGTGAATTTTTTTAAAAACTCCCCCTCATTTGTATGGCTCTGCACCAAAATGACCTTATCCTTCCATTTCCTTTGAGGTATTGATGAGTACACAATAGCCAAGTGAGTTAATTGTTATAACTTGCTGAGATTTTCCACAAACTGGGTTACTAATCTACATGATACTGTCACCTCCTGTGTGAATGTAACACCAAGATGTTCAGTGTTTCCTGTTGCTTTAAAACAACCATCTTATCTGTGTGTTTGAATAGGAAGGCCCAAACAGTCTGATTAATGAAGAAGAGTTCTTTGATGCTGTTGAAGCTGCTCTTGACAGACAAGACAAAATAGAAGAACAGGTATATCTGTTAAGATTCTAAACAAACTCTATAGCATCCCTTGATGCATTTTATATAAACAGAATTTGAAAATTGTGACTTAATAACATAGAAAAGTATCTGTGCACTGTTGCAAGCATAGAAAGATCTTTATAAATCCTTTTTTGTGTATATTAATGTCCACTTGAAAATAGCCAGTAATTATCTGAAGCAAATATGCAATATTAACGTGAAGTGAAATGGAACTGCCCTGCCTGTTCACTTACCGTGTCTAACTTCTCCTTTCCGGTGATGACAGGCGTATGTTTAGCCTGATCAGAAACTTTCCACAGAATAACTCATAAATTCAAAAGAAAGATGACCAGAAATCTTAGCTGTGCCATCTCTATCATTAGCCCCTTCACGATATTTACTATGTTTGCCTTTGGTTTTTTCTCAATATTACTTTGCTCAGAATTTTATCATAAATGTTGAATTCACAGCATTTACTTCGAGATCTTTCTGTGGGAATCAGAGGGAAGCATTTCTCAAATTGTCTAATTCTAGTTTCAAGATGAAGAATTTTATCACTTGCCTTTTCAAATTCTTTAGTAATGCAGTAGCTGTGTTTTACCACTAGGTGATATTTAGGGACGTGTTTCCAAACCCTGCTTCCTCCCTGCTTGAAGCTGATTTAACCTCTGCAGGGAACAAGTGTGGCTAACTTGTAAATAATCACATGTGTATCAGTTGTATGCCAGAAATGGCCTGGTTTGTTCACTCCCTCTCACGCCCTGAGGTGGTTGCGATCACTGTGCCCATCTGCTGACTGTGTGGCCAAGGGCTGGTCACCTGTAGTGATGCCTGTTTATCTGTCATGTTTGTTTTTCATTGTATTTTAAAGTAATGATAAAAATTCATTTCATGTGAAGATAATTTGTAAAGTTCACTAATCATTCTTTTTTGTACTCACAAGATGCCACAAAGCTCAAGAGTGGGAACTTCCAGTAAAGTGGGCTCTATTTTTGTTTTTTGTTTGTTTTTTACAGAGCCTGTGGCTCTATTTACTAAGTCTAAAGCAGTACCCTGAAATCACAGTGTTGTTTCCTGTTTACATGGTGGTACTTGGGCAGGTGTAGTGAAATAATGGGGTCAAGACAGCCCCGTGTTACTCTGATTTTACTGCTGTCTAGGCTCGCAGCTGTAAGCTTGTCACCAGGTCTTGTTTTTGTTTCTCAGTCGGTGAAAATACGAGTGAGATGTGCTTCAGAGCTCTTCTGGCTCACACAGTGCTGCCCTCCCAACCAGCAGTGCACTCGTTGAGTTTAATGTGCTCAGTGGAACCTTGAACAGTTTTAGAAGGAGTATTCATAGGACTGCACACCATTTAGTTTAGGTCTTTTCTTGCTGGTCTGGCAGGTGCTGTACGTGCCAGTCACAGGAAGAGGCTTGTCGGTGTGAGGGGTACATTATATTATGTTGAGGCTTTGAAGAAACCAGGCGCATAGGTCCCTGTTGCACCCGGTGTTCAGCCAATAATGCACAAAGCTGTCGACACCAGACCTTGACCTCAGCATTCTCCATGGTGACACACCACACAGTTTCGGATTTACTTCATTTGTAACTGTAGGGAAAGATGTGCAGTATGTTTGTGAGAAGTGAGATCTTAGCAGTTGTGCTCACACAGTGTTGAGTAGAAGTTACCAAATGCTTTCCATATAGTTAAAAGGTGAGCAGTTGCATACTACACAGCATAGTTTCTGGTAGATTTTGTTCAGTCATTTATTGAATGCATGAGAAGAAACTAGACAGGCCGCAGCAGAGGAAGGAGGTTGAGTGGCAGCTTACCTGAAGTAAAGTGGTAAGATGAACGCAGATACAAGATCCGCACATGAACTGCTACAAGGACTGAGTCATGGGGGCCTGATGGTCTAGAAGCCTGAGGCCTGCCCACAACACACTGACTAGATAGGTGGCTGGCATGATTGGGACAGAGTTTGGAGAGAAGAAAATCAGCAATAGTGTTAGTCCAGTGCATGACAAATGTTGCTGTGCTGTTAGCGAGGCCTTATGGGCAACAGAGTGCAAGAACATAACCTGGTGTCACAGGATATCTGGACATCCATGCTAGGTCAGGGTTTGGCCAGACATTTTATATCTGTGGAATATTTCATAATTCAAGTATTTTTTAATGCTGAAATGTTTTACTACTGGAATGATGGTAATTCCTGGTGATATTGTGCCATGCTTATGCTGCAGAGATAACACTTTGAAAATTCTCATCTTAACATTGTGGTTTTTTTTTTTTCGGTCACAGAGTGAGAAGGTCAGATTACATCGGCCTACATCCTTGCCCTCTGGAGATGCCTTTTCTTCTGCAGGGACTCACAGATTTGTACAAAAGGTAATCTGATGTCAGATTTTATTGCAAGTATACCCTAGGTTGATGGGACTATCTTTTAGTGTAGTGTTCTCACCTTGTGAATGAAATTAAGTAGTGAGTTCTGGGGGGTTGTTTTGTTTCGTATGTTGAATTACAAACACATCCTCCAGGATGTTTTATCTTGCTCAGAGCTGTAAGACAGTGAAGGGGGGTTGGGTGAATAGGGAGTGGTGTTTAGCCTACTACAGTTAACCAAAGCATGGCTGGTTGTATTAAGTTTGATGTTCTTGGAAGTGTTCTGTTCTCTGACACATCCCTGGTTGTGAAGTCAGCACTCGCTGCTGTGCTTGTTGCACATGGTGCCTTGTTTTCTCCTCTATCTTGTGTTTGCCAGTTGGTACAGGATGCTCTGTTGTGCCTTTGTTCTGATGACGTGATTTTTTCTTTGTCTGTCTCTGGTAGCACTATAGTCGCTCTTCCTCCATGTCTTCCATTGATCTAGTCAGTGCCTCTGATGATGTGCACAGATTCAGCTCCCAGGTACTGTATGAATGTGCAGATGGCTCCCCTCTGTCTGTGCTCGGTTCTAGCCTGCTTGCCCAGTCGCTAGAAGGCTTTTGGTTAGACCACTTACTTTGGCTTTCAGTTTTAAGAACAGCAATGAGCATTAAAAAGACCTGTCTTAATTTACTAAACACTTTCTCAGGCTTGCATGTGTCCTTGGCTTTGTATGCTACACCAACCAGCTGGGAATTTTGTCCAGTAGGAAGTAGTTCAGAGTGACTTTCCGACTGAATGGAAAAAAGTAGCAATTTTCTTTTGTGAATTGTGTTAACACTGTTCCTTTAGTGCAGACTTTGCAACTTTCATGACCATTTTCTAATTTATAGGATGTGTCTCATGTGGGAGCACATTTTTTTTTATTTGTTTCTTTTTATTGGAGAGTCACATACACAGAGAGGAGGAGATATGCAGAGAGGAAGATCTATCCACTGATTCACTCCCCAAGTGGCCACAATGGCCAGAGCTGAGCTGATCTGAAACCAGGAGGCAGCAGCCAGGAGCTTCTTTTAGGTCTCCCACACAGATGCAGGGTCTCAAGGCTTTGGGCTGTCCTTGCTGCCTTCCAAGACTACAAGTAGGGAGCAGGATGGGAAGCAGGGCCGCTGGAACACGAACAGGGACCATATGGGATCCCAGTGTGTGCAAGGTAAGGACTTTAGTCTCTAGGCTACCGCGCCAGACCTGCAAATTCATTTTAAATCTCATTTAAAATATCTCCCAGTGAGATTCAATAAGAGAATACTTTTAAATATTCATGTCATTTCCATTGAGTAAGTTGTATTTTCCTTATGCAGATTATCTTTAGATATTATAAATTAATATTTATGTTTATATGCTAGAAATCTATGGCAATAACTTCTGTTTGTCATCTCCAACTGTCAAGGAATCTAAGGAAGGAGTTTGAATACACTCAGCCTGCACCTACGAAATTACCATCAAAGTAATCCTATTTATATCTTTGACTTTATTTTTTTTTTATGGTGTTTGGGTTTTATTAAATCACATTGTGCTACCTTCGAGTGCCTGAGATATCTGACCTCTCTGGTTGGAATGAATTATGTTTATGTGTTTATGTTCTGTCATAGCACAGCGAGGGACGTACCTTGCACTCTGGGACTTCTGGTTGCCTAAGCTTGGGCTTGTTTCCCAGCTGTTCTGTGTGGGAGACCTTATCAGAGTGAGCTGTTATTGCCATTGTCACAGCAGAATTTCTTCTCAATTGTGTATAAACCAAATTTTGGGAGAGGTCTCTTGAAAGTCACAGGGTAAAGCATATTTCTATCATTTTACATGTACCAAAATAACTGAACAGTGTTTTGCCTGGGGAAGAAATTGGGTTGAAATAACAGTTTCCTGACTTTTGTAGCTTTTTTTCCTCTTTGAATATCTTTGAGAAGAAGATTTAGTACTCCTATGATGAGGAATTATCCATAGCCAAACCTGCTGCAGTATTTCCTGCCTTTTACACATCCATTGATGTGTGCTTATGAACAAAGCCATTATATTTACAGTGTGTCAGTGATGAGAACGTATAGTGGGAGGTAATGAAGCCACATTGGCCCCCATGGTCCCTGGCAGTGGAGGAACACAGAGGCTGGAGTAAACAAACATGGCAGGTGAGCACAGAAGGAATGGACGGCAGTTATCATGACCTGGGGCTTCAGAGCCCAGCCCCGCGTGCTGGCCACAGACGCTATCAGTCGGCAGGGAGCCTGCTGTTACATTTTTGCAAAAGCTATTCATCTTGCTTGTATTTTTTTTCTGATGTGTGGTGCATATGATTTGTCCAATCTTGGTTTGGCTTTTGAAGCTTAGACTGCTTTATATGCCAAAAGAGGTAAGACTGAAGAAAATAATGTTAAGATCTTTAAGTATTTACCTTTCCCAAAGAATATTATCATTAGCCTGCTTGGGCCCTAAAACCATTGAACAGCACTGTGAGGGGAATGAGCAGTCCCCAGGGCCGTAGGAGGGGCTGCCTGGCCTGTCCCCGTCCTGCAGGTGTGGAGCCCACCTGATCCTGTCCAGGTGCTCTCCAGTGCAACAGAGCATTGGGCAGCATTACACTAGTGATGGGCTGGGTGTGCTACACCGTACTGCTCACATCCTCAAGACACGTCAACACGGAGCAGAAGAAAAAGCTGTGAATTTATTCATCAATATTAGAAGCATTTACGCTATTTTGTACACAGTACATAAATGTACACCAGTAACATCTGTTGCTCCTTAAAATAATTGAGGTAGCTTAATTTTTTGGTAGTATGTATCACTTCGTAATCATTTTTTTTAAGTTTTGCCAAAATACCTCAGCATTATGCTGCAATCTGTATTCAGACTTTTAATAATTTAGTTTTGCTGTCTACATAAATGTTGGCGTATAACTGTTCTTCTAGAAATGATGTGGTAGTTACCAGGAGTGAAGTTACTCCCACTGTGTGACACTGAGTGCACAGTTATCATTGCAAGATGTCATCTTGGAAATTTAAGAAAAAAAAAATCTCCTTTGAAGAAAAAAGGCTGGGCCCAGTGCAGTTGCCTGGTAGCTAAAGTCCTAACCTTGCATGTGCTAGAATTCAATATAGGCACTGGTTCATGTCCCATATGCTCCACTTCCCTTCCGGCTCCCTGCTTGTGGGCTTGGAAGGCAGTCAAGGACGGCCCAAAGCTTTGGGACCCTGCACCCATGTGGGAGAACCAGAGGAAGCTCCTGGCTCCTGGCTTTAGATCAGCACAGCTCTGACTGTTACAGCTACTGGGGAGTGAACTAACGGATGGAAGATCTTTCTGTCTCTCCTCCTCTCTGTACATCTGACTTTCCAATCTTTAAAAAAAAAAAAAAAAGAAATACTTTCCCAAGACACAAATCCTGTACCACAAAACTCACCCTTTCCACGTGTGCAAGGCTGTGCTTTTTAAGAAAGAAAGGAGACTGTGCAGCCCCGTCCAGGTGGTTGGCAGGACACCCTCTCCCAGGCGACCTCAAGGCGCATCTGCCTGCTCAGAGCAGTGCGGTGCTGTGTGTTCATTGCCAAAGGCTGCTCCCTTGTGACTGTACAGATAATGCATGCCACTTCAGGCACAATCAGGAAGTCAGTAAGTAACATAATAACCATTATGTATTTGTTTATTTGAAAGGCAAAGTTATATATAGAGAGAAACTCTTCCCTCCACTGTTTGACTCCTCAAATGGAAGCAGCAGCCAGGACTTGGCCTGAGGGAAACCCAGAGCCAAGAGCTTCTTCGGGGTCTCCCGCGTAGTTGCAGGACCCAAGCAGTCAGACCATCTGCTGCTGCTTTTCCAGAAACATTAGCAGGGAATTGGTTAGGAAGCAGATGGAGCAGCTGGGACTTGAATAGGTACCTGTTTGGGATGCCAGCATCGTAGGTGGAGGCTTGCCATGTTGGCTTCACTTCCTGGGTAATCTTGCACCAGTAAATATATGGGGTCTGCCTCTTCTGTGTATTTATGGCTATCCGTTGAATTTACCTGTTCACCCAGCATTGAACAGGTAGTTTATTTTCAGGTATATATCTCAGTGAGTTGTGCTGTGCTAAGTAACCTTTGCATATTCGGTACCCTTGTATTCACATCTTTGCACACTTACCTGGTTATTTTCTTAAGGAGTTATTCCTAGAAGTGGAGTTGTCAAGACCAAGACCATTAACATTTCCAAGTTATGTCTGTTTTGACTGCCAAATTGCTTAAGTAGCTGAGGCAGCCAATCTTGCAGACCAGTGTTCTTTTAATTTTTTTTTTAAGATTTATTTATTTATTTATTTTTATTGGAAAGGCAGATATACAGAATTTCTAGGAGGAGAGACAGAGAGGAAGTTTTTCTGTCTAATGGTTCACTCCCCAGGCGACTGCAACAGCCAGAGCTGAGCCAATCTGAAGCCAGGAGCTCTTCCGGGTCTCCCACACAGGTGTAAGGTCCCAAGGCTTTGGGCCATCCTCGACTGCTTTCCCAGGCCACAATCAGGGAGCTGGAGGGGAAGTGGAGCTTCTGGGACTAGAACCGGCACCCATATGGGGTCTCGTGCACATGCAAGGCAAGGACTTTAGCTGCCAGGCTACTGCACCGGGCCCCAATGCATTTTTTTTTTTTAATAAGTTGACTGTGTCTTTGGCCTTTTTTGGAGGGACGGGTGGGAGAAGCTAATTGTGTACTTTTGATTTGTCATTAATAAATTACTCCATTTAAGCTGTTGTGTGACCTTGTCTCGTGTGCAACAATAGGAGGGTTATATTCCTGTCATTCTGGCATCAGAAAGAAACTTGAGTTGTGTTTGAGCCTTTAGAACGCGATTTTCTTTTCATATTTATGTGTTAATATTAGAAAATCCAATCTAGTGAGTTCTTGAAAGAGCACTATACTGAAATACGAGGTAGAAGAGAAGGTTAGACTTGGGGTGGTAGCGGTTCTTATTATATGTGTTTGATCTCCATTTTTCCATCATTTGTTGGCTGTAAAAATGCACACGTGTTAGTTTAGCACTTTTTATTTTTGGCTAACAAAAATCCCTGAAGTTATGCTTGGTGTAATGAAAACTAGCCAACTTTTACCCATGTCAGTGTTTTTTATCCAAAAGTTTTTGTTTTTAGCAAATATATTTAGTGTTCTAGAATATCAGATTTTTTTAGCTTGGTAAATGTTCAGTTTGGCTTGTGTTTCTTCTTAAAAGAAAAAAAAAATGTTTGAAAGAATGACAAACAGATCATTGAGCCATTGATTCACTTCTGCCGTGACCAGGCTGAGGCCAGGAGCCGAACTCCCATCAGCTGTCACCTGCAGAGGCACAGCAGAGCCATCCGAGCGAGCGTGTGGGCATTGGGGTGGGCTCAGAGGCAGGACACAGGCAACATAAGGTTCTTAAAGTGAGGTTTGACAGCTGTGTCATCTTGTCTCAACTTTGATGTCGCTGCCTCAAGGAAGCCAGCACCCTGCAGGTGTCACCAGGAGCCTACTGGAGCGGGGCGGTGCTGGGCTACCTAGGACCATAATGCATCAGACTGGTTTGCTGCAATTGTTCAAGCCCATTTCAGTGCAGACTATCAGCTTTATGTGGATGCTTAGTTTACTGAGGACAGAGTTGAGTGCGTTCTACGCGTTAACTTTTGCTCCATTCTGTCCGTTATGTGTGTGTGGAGTCTGTTTTGGGGGAAAACAAACCAAAACCAATTTCTGATATTTGAACCACCTAATTCAAATGTAGCCTTCTAAATTGAAATACAATAATGATCTTTATACATGTTGACAGAAAAGCTAAATATCAGCACATGTTCTAGGTAAGAATTTGTTTGCAGAATACAGTGGCCTGTTTGTCGCCTCTAGTCTCTGGGACTGTCTCCTGCTGCCTCGTCTGGGAATACACACAGGTGTTCTTACCCATGAATTACAAGATTGGGCCCAAAAGAGGGCCAAGAAGGAGTGAGCTATGTCGCTACTGTGGAAATTTGCGGAGGAGGGGAGCTTTATGTACTCTTCTTGTGGCAGTCAGAAGCAGTCTGCACATATTTGTGACTAGATATCTGAATAATCACCATCACCCTCTGAAAGCAGATTTCACGACTGATAGAGATACCTGATGTGTTTTCTGATTTAATCCTTTGCCAGTTTATTGAATATACTATTACTAAATTTTCAGGTTTTTCTCAATCCTGCAATCCCACAGTGCATTGTTTTGAGAATTGTGAAAATAGGAGTAGAATATGCCTGTTTATTTACTGCAAACTTAATGATAGAAAGTCAACAAGAATGTTTTTGTCATAGTATCTCTACTGAGTGGGATGATGAAACGTACAGAGCCACAAATGCGTCTGCACGTGTCCCTGGGTCAGGTGTCCACATCTCCCTCAGTGGTATCCCTCGCTGTACAGAAGCTGTATCCCTGAGTCAGGTGCACATGTCTCCATCCATGGGGTCTCATGCTGCAGAGAAGCTGTGTCCCTGGCCAAGAGCCTGAGAGCCTCTGTTCTAGGTGCATTATATATGTCTGTTTATCTTTTTTTAGAGACATCATCGTCTTTTTTTTTTTTTTAAAGATTTATTTTTATTATTTTTTGATTGGAAAGGCGGATATACAGAGAGGAGAGACAGAGAGGAAGATCTTCCGTCCGATGATTCACTCCCCAAGTGAGCGCAACGGGCTGATACTATGCCGATCCGAAGCCAGGAGCCTCTTCCAGGTCTCCCACGCGGGTGCAGGGTCCCAAAGCTTTGGGCCGTCCTCAACTGCTTTCCCAGGCCACAGGCAGGGAGCTGGAAAGGAAGCGGGGCTGCCGGGATTAGAACCGGCGCCCATATGGGATCCCGGGCGTGCTAGGCGAGGACCTTAACCACTTGCGCCACCGCGCCGGGCCCGACATCATCGTCTTTTAAAAAAAAAAAAAAAAGATTTTTTAAAATTTTTATTAAAAGTCAGATATACAGAGAGGGTGAGAGACAGAGAGGAAGATTTTCTGTGTGATGATTCACTCCCCCAGTGACCGCAACGGCTGGTGGTGCTGCACCCATCCGAAGCCAGAAGCCCGGAACTTCCTCCAGGTCTCTCACATCAGTGCACAGTCCCAAAGCTTTGGGCCGTCCTCGATTGCTTTCCCAGACCACAAGCAGGGAGCTGGATGGGAAGTAGAGCTGCCGGAACTAGAACCTGAATCCATATAGGATCCTGGCATGTTCAAAGCGAGGGCTTTAGCTGCTAGGCCATCACACCAAGCCATGTATGTTTATTTCAAAACCAAATTTAATCCCAGTCAACAGTAAAGCGCAGGGTGAATAATAATAATAATGACATTTAGCAATAAAATTCTAAATAAAAGGATAATATGCAGGTTTTCCAACCCCTTTCTGCCTATTCTTTTTTTATTATAAAGTTGTTTTGGGGCCTGGTGTGATAGCATAGTGGTTAAAGTCCTCACCTTGAACATGCCACGATCCCATATGGGTGCCGGTTCTAATCCCAGCAGCTCCATTTCCCACCCAGCTCCCTGATAGTGGCCTGGAAAAGCAGTCAAGGACGGCCCAAAGCTTTGGGACCCTGCACCCATGTGGGAGACCCAGAGGAAGCTCCTGGCTCCTGGCTTTAGATCAGCACAGCTCTGACTGTTACAGCTACTTGGGGAGTGAACTAACGGATGGAAGATCTTTCTGTCTCTCCTCCTCTCTGTACATCTGACTTTCCAATGAAAATAAATAAATTTTCTTTAGAAAAAAGTTGTTTTGGTTGTACAGGGTTTATCACCTCGGTTTTGTTTAAAAATACATTTCAAACTGGGAAGCAGAACTTTGTCAAGAACATGTGAAGTCTTCACAATGAATGTGATTGAAAAGGAGTGTTCTGCCACCCAGTTTTCGTTGCTTTACAGAAGCTACAAATGGGTAATTTGATTGTTAAACTTATTAGAAATTTCAATAAAGGAAACTTTTACCGAAATTCTATAATGTAGAAAGATGAGCTGAAAGGTAATGAAATGTAAAAGCTTGAATTATCACTAGAGAATTTAGCACAGTGAAGTTGGAAGTTGGATGCTTTTAATTAGTGAGAGTAGGGAAGTTCTCACCACCGTTAGTCAAGTTTTGACCAGAGAGCCAGGTTTCCTGCATTCCGTGGTATTCCGCTTTAAGACGTCATCTCTGTATTTGATAGTAAAGGGTAAAATCTTTTTTTTTTTTTCCTGGGGAAAAAAAGCCCTTATTTTGGTCACTTGGTGGACATGGGGCCTATCTGTGCTGGTTGAGTGATGCATCTTCCTGCCGCTGTCTTCCTTTGTGTCATTAACTGGAATGTCTGGAATGTGGACTGAACTCTGCAGCACTGCACGAAGCCCGCTCGTGAACTTGTATGCAAACCTTTGGTTGCACAGCTTTCTAAGCAGCTTTTCTGAACTGAAGTCAGCTGAGCACCATTGTATTTAGAGTGTGACATGGCGACTGAACATGAATCCTTACAACTTTGGTTTTTCTTCCAAGGTTGAAGAGATGGTGCAGTACCACATGACTTACTCGTTACAGGATGTGGGTGGAGATGCCAATTGGCAGCTGGTTGTAGAAGAAGGAGAAATGAAGGTAATCCCACTGAAACTGATCAGGCTGTTTCCATCTGGCTACTGTTGGTATTTATGAATGGGGACACATTTTCCTATCATTTCAGAACAAATCACTACCATCAAGAAGCACCAGTTGTTAGAAGTAAAAAGTCTGTGGGATTCCATTTGACTGTTTGCACTGAGGCTGCCATGTGTACAGTGTATTTTTTAGTTGCTGACATCAAATAAGAGAGTAAATACAAGTTTCTGAAAAAAAAAAAAAAGTGAAGGGGTCTGTGCTTCCCTGCACTCACTTCCACTTATTTGTTTGTGGTCAGGCAGCTTTGTTTTGCCTGCATCATAGACACTGACCACTGTTAGACTTGGTCGTCAGCAGGGTCCATGGAGCTGATGGCCTGGCCTGCTGTGTTTGGTGTTTGTAGTATAGTCAATGTTGTGCTTCCATGTCACTTTCTCTCCTTACTGATGAATCTCTCCCTTCTTGCTTTTTCTTCACTGCACTTAAATTTTTTTAAAGATTTATTAATTTCTATTGGAAAGTCCAGTTTACAGAGAGAAAGATCTTCTGTCCCCTGGTTCACTTCCCAAGTGGCCACAGTGGCCAGAGCTGAGCCGATCCAAAGCCAGGAGCAAGAAGTTTCTTCCAGGTCTCCCATGTGGGTGCAGGGTCCCAAGGCTTTGGGCCGTCCTCGGCTGCTTTCCCAGCCCACAATCAGGGAGCAGGATGGGAAGTGGAGCAGCCAGGATTAGAACCAGTGCCCATTTGCGATCCTGGCATGTGCAAGTCAAAAATTTACTTACTGAGTCATCACACTAGGCTCTACACTTAAGTTTGTTTAAAATAAATTTATTCAATGTATGTTTTAGAGACAGAAATCTTCTATTCATTGGCTCCTTCCCCAAATGCCTACAACAGCCAGGGCAGGGTATGGACCCAGCCAACAGCTAGGAGTCCACCTGGGTCTCCCCTGTGGACAGCGGGGGACGCAGATCATTGAAACACCATCTGCTGTCTGCACATTGCGCTCAAGCGAGGAGCTGATTTGGAAGCAGAGCTAGGACTTCAATGTGGCACTCTTGAGTGATATTGTAAATGCTGTGCCCGGTGCCTGCCCTTGCACATTTTATGATGTTTGAACATTGCTTAAACATAAAAAGAATAACAAGGAATGGGTGCTGTGTTGAAAATAATGACAGCTGAATTCTGAGCCCAAGACATTTAAGGTAAAGAGTTTGAGAAATTTAATTAGTCTCCTTGCAGCTAAAGCCTCAGTTAAATAAAAAGGATATTAACATTTAAAAGAAAACAGTGTTTGATTCATCTGACTATGTGTTAAATCAAGAGTACATGTGAGTAGTGAAGAAAATCAGAAAAGAATTCTGTGATACAAAGTCGTTAGATTGAATTTAAATAAGAAATAATATGTAAGCAATAAAGTGAAAGCAGATTTTGTTTTCAGGGCTTCTGTATAGTTGAATCATGACTAGAATTATTCTTGGAAATGAGATATAGTAGTATACTGGGATTTCCTCTCCTTGAAGTAGAGGAGCCATGTGAGGTAATCTGACAGGCTGGTTGGGGAAAGGGGCTTTAGCTCAGCTTTTGCAAGGTGTTACTCGTGTCTTGGTCCAGAGCTTGACGCCACAGAAGCAAGCCCGGAGAAGTCCAAGATGCACGTTGTTCCTCCTCCACTCTGCAGTTAGCTTCCCCAAGGGAAGGGGCTCAGATCCATGTGAGTGGGGAAGCAGTGATGACAGCTCTGGTACTGAGTCCTACACTAACACTCGGGAGAGCTGAATGGAGTTTGGGGCCCGCCCTGGCTGCACGAGTGTTTGAGCAGTCAACCAGTAGATGGAAGATCTCTGTCTCTTGACTCTCTCTGTCACTGTACCTTTTAAATCAGTAAAAAGTGAGTACATTGTTCTTTTGATATCTGAAAAGCACATTAAAAGACCTGTTTTCAAGCCTCTAGGGATTTGCTGTTTACTTTTCAAATGGTTACAAATACGTCCTCTAGGTATACAGAAGAGAAGTAGAAGAAAACGGAATTGTTCTGGATCCTCTGAAAGCCACCCATGCAGTTAGAGGTGTTACAGGACATGAGGTCTGCAATTACTTCTGGAATGTTGATGTCCGCAATGACTGGGAAAGTAAGCTATTGTTATTTACACACTTTCATCATTATTTTGAATTTCATATCAAGTAAACCTAGTTGTCTGTGACTGAGCTACAACTTTTAAAGTTAGTATAGAAAAGAGAGACCCATGCTGTGGCATAGTAAGTTAAGCTTCCGCCTGCGGTTCTGGCATCCCAAATGGGCCCTGAATTTCAGTTGCTTCACATCAGGCCCCGCTTTCTCCTAAAGAAACTTAGGAGACCAGCAGATGTCCCAAGTCCTTGGGCTGCTGCACCCATGCAGGAAACCTACAGGAAGCTCCTGCTCCTGGCTACAGCCTGGCCCAGCCCTGGCCTCTGGAACCATTTGAGAAGCCAGTAGGTGGAAGGTCTCTGTCACTATCTCCATTCCTTGTCTTTCCATCTCTGTAACTGTGCCTTTCAGATAAAGCTTTATACCGCCACCACCAAAAAGTATACGCGTGTGTGTATATGTACCTTACATTTAAGCAGCTTTTCACTGTGAAAACGTTTCTCAGCGTATTGTGTCCTGTAATCTGGTATCTCCTGAGTAGGTGTTACTGTTTCTTCTGTCACATGCAGGTAAGGTAAGGCCCATTGATTGAGTGACTTGGAAGGGTGCAGAGTAAGGAGAGGCGAAGTCACCTAGGAAAGCTCATCCTTCACGAGACAGCAGTCATACCGCTGTTGCCTTTTCTCCATCTAGATTTAGCTTTGGTGCCATGTTCTGGAGGAGGTGCTTCTTCTTACTACTAATATTACTGTTTGCATTTCAGCAACTATAGAAAACTTCCATGTTGTGGAAACACTAGCTGATAATGCAATCATCGTTTACCAGACACACAAGGTAAGATCTCTCTGTCCATCCTAAAGAGATTCTGACCTGCTCCAGGCTGTTCTCAAGCATAAACATTTTTTGAAGTAGAGTAGGTTGGGAAATCAGATGCCACATAAGATCTACAGAATTCATGGAAGGCTTGTCCGTTAATTAGAGCAGATTTGTACAGGCAAGAATCTGCAAAAAAGAATTGTTAGTGTTTGATGAAGATGTGCAGTTGATTTCTCTGTGCACATGTTAAATCTGGGAAAGAACATTCTGTAATACATGTAAATGCGTTTCTGTCATTGAGAGTAAGTGGTAGTTAACAGATAGGTAAGTGAATCATCGTTTCCTGTGACCATAATAGTAGTGGTAATGGAAGTCTGTTATTAGCCTGTATGCTGCAGAAGTAACCAAAGTGTGTTTCCTGGAAGTAAGAATTGGTGAACTTGATTGTGGGATGGCTGATCACACCCCAGAACATATAGAAACATTAGCCCCCTCTCATATCATCTCTCCCTTGGCTCTTATAGATACTTATGGAATATTTCTCTGACCTTATTTTGTTGGGGTTTTTTTTCCCCTGAAGATTGCCTAATAATACTAATAGATCATAAAAGAAATTAAAATTTCAGAGAGAGCCTCAGAAAGCAACATGTAGCATATAGGAAATACTTCTGCTGATAATCACATTTTTTTATTCAATGGTATTTTGATTTTCTCTTGATTTTTGAAATTGAGTTGAATACGAGTAATTTTTTTTGAATAAATTTTTATTTTTTATTAATCATTATGTGGTTGATCAGGGTGGGAATGTTTGAATAATTAAGGTTTATTACCAGAAGCATCTTGTATCTCTTAATTGTCCGTTATCTTAGTGTCTGCTCTGTAGAAACTGTTGGGCACGCAAGAGGCCGGTCAGGGTTTGATAGCATCTCAAAACACTGGGAGAGAAAAGGCTCAGCACATGAACTTCTGGGTCTCACAAGGAGATTAAACTTTAAAGTGTCGGTTCCTGAAAGTTTTACTGCAGAAAAATAGGCAATGATTTGGGATCAGAAAGTGTTACTATCTAAAAATAATTGGTCCTGGGGAATAGTCAGCTAAAATCTTCCTTTGGTAAATTATAGATCAGTGGAAGAAAGTCAGATTAATTGTGTTGGATTGAAAAGTGAAACTAAAAATAATTGAAGTCTTGACATGTAACAAAATTTAAATTAGTTGTAATTATTTCTCAACATGGAACAAATTGTGCTGGAACGATTTTTTTTTTTTACATAAACAAAATGAACTCTGACCTGTATTTCCCTTTAAATTTTGCTGCTTTTCCTGCAATGACTAAAAAAGCCTGCCAGTCTCCCAAATATTAAAATTGGTTTCCTTTAAATGTCTGTTTTTCTGTCCTGGTAGATATACATTCCACAGTTTGACAGTAGTGTTTTAGAATTGATTTCACATCTACTTGCCCAGTACTGATTTCATCAACTTCATGAAGTCACACATTGACTTGACTTGGCAAAGGGAGTGTGTTGTGTTGGTGGTCGATTACACTCAGGAAGCAGGAAGGATGCTGGGAGCGAGAGCGAAGTGCTGGCCCCATGCGTGCTGAATACTCTAGAGAACTGAATCAGGGTACACCTTTATGTTCTGTCATTTAAAAGTAGGTCATGGAATGGGGATTGCATATCAAGTGCCTTGTGTTCCTAGCTGCACCCTCCCCACCCAGCTGATGCTGGGGCTCCTGGGAGACAAAGACGTTGGCCCCTGCCCTGCACGGGAGAGACCAGGCAGAGATCCTGGTTCTTGGCTTCAGCCTGGCCCAGACTGGGCATTTGGAGAGTGAACCAGTGAATAGAAGATCTCCTTTCCCTCTGTCTCTTTCTCTCCATCTTTCTGTTTTTCAAATAAGCAAATCTTTTATTTTAAAAATTAATTAATAATAGTGCAGTTACCAGCAACCTGTGCTTCATTGGCATTCACATAGGATATGTTTTTTTCTTGCACACCTTGAAGTTGAAGTATTTGATCATAAATATTGGGACTTCTTTCAAGTATGTTACAACATCAAAGAAGAAATCCATTTTGCCCTAAACTCTTGACTTTCTGTTTCTGAGGCTCCAGGCATAACATTACCAGAGCTGTGAGGGTATGGCAGTAGTCAGTTGTTGCTTAAGGGGGACAGAGTTTGGGTTGAAGAGAAGTTTTGGTAAACGTGGTAATAATTACTTGTTATTCTGAATGAAATTAATATCAGTGAATTGCAGTCAGAATTGTTAGAATAGAACACTGTTCCTTCAGTTATGTTGTTCTGCAGAGTTACTACCTGGGCTCAGCACTGGTCTTTGCTGGATATTCCCAGATGCCTTGCATTTACATTTGACTGATTCTGCCTTTCCTGAAGACACTTTTGCTTTTAGTTGCATGCTGCATTTGAATAAAGTAGTTCAGATTTTAAAGAGATTTGTTTTACTTCTTGCAGAGAGTGTGGCCTGCGTCTCAGCGAGATGTGTTGTATCTTTCTGCCATTCGAAAGATAGCAGCCGAGACTGAGAATGACCCTGAAACATGGATAGTTTGTAATTTTTCTGTGGATCATGACAGTGCTCCCGTAAGTATGGTGACTTGTACATGGGCAGGGCGAAGCTGATGGACAATGCCACGCATGAACAACCTGGATTTGATTGTGCACCCTTGTAGCCCACCTGTCACCTCAGGGTGATCTGAACTAGCCGAGGTGGTGCTAGACCAGCAGGGAATATGCAGTGCTGCACATGTCCTGTACTGCTCTGTGTTTTTTGTTTTGACAGCTAAACAATCGATGTGTCCGTGCCAAAATAAATATCGCTATGATTTGTCAGACCTTAGTAAGCCCACCAGAGGGCAACCAGGAGATCAGCAGGGACAACATTCTATGCAAGATTACCTATGTAGCTAATGGTGAGTGTTTTTGCTGTGTAGCATTGTGGGTATTCAGGGAGATGTATTTTAGAAGTGTCCAGGAGTCTTTGAAAACACACATGCTTGAATTTTTCCTTAGAAATACTAAATGAGAGTTTCCGGAACTGGAGATGAATAGGCAAATGTTAAGACTTCATCTCTGGGTCAGTATGATAAATCATAGTTTTAAGAGCTGTTTTGTTGGAAGTTTGCCTGATAGAAAATACTTAAAATTCAGAATAGAACAACAGCAGAAGAGAAAGTGAATGGTTCATTTTCTCCTTTCCAGACTTCTAGATTTTTGAGTCATGGTTCCTCCAGCCTTTGTTGTTCGTAGTTCTGTTTCTTGCACTTTTGGTCAATGCTGGCCAGCCCATGGCAGTGCCTCCTTTCTTTGCTTGCCATACCTGAATGGGCACTGCCATCTGACCAGACACCTGAGGCTGGCTCTGCCTGGGTGAGTTGCTGTGCTGTGGTACAGGCTGATGGGCCAGGTGCTGCTGTACTAACGGGTGCGTGTAGATTAGGGCTTCAGGGCATGGGAGGACAGGAGTGAGTGTCCTTGTCTGCTCACTAGACTAAGAACTGTGAGGAACTTTTGTAAAGTCAAGGAGCAGATTGTGTGTTTCCAGTGTGTTTAGAGAATGGTGTGCGGATTGTGATTTTCCACTTTGTTTCAGTGAACCCCGGAGGATGGGCACCAGCCTCAGTGCTGAGGGCAGTAGCAAAACGAGAATATCCTAAGTTTCTGAAGCGCTTTACTTCCTACGTACAAGAAAAAACTGCAGGAAAACCTATTTTGTTCTAGTATTAACAGGTACTGAAGGGTATGTTTTATCTTTTGTTTTTAGCTTTGTCAGTATGACTCTGCAGGAACTAATATGGTGCCTTTGCTTTATGATGTTCTCACAGAGAAGATAGTTACAGCTAAAACTTTAACTCCTTCTTGTTTATTTTTCTGCTAATGCTTACTTAAGGAGATTTCAGCATGACAGATCATAGAATTTCAGAGTGCAAATTCTTTGTAAACTTTGCTTTGCTTTTTTTTGTATGTGCTTTCTGGTCTTTCCTGTATATCTGTTGATATGTATTTTGGTAGCTAAAAATGTTTCCTCATACCTACTGTTCTGAAGCTTTTCCCTCCTTGGTAGATCTTAACTTTTCATGTAGAAACATGAAACCTATAAAGCGGCCTTTTTCCTTGGCTGTCTGTTATATGCATGTGTAAGATGTATTACCCAGCTCTTTAGTTATATCTGGGTTGGTTCCACATTTTCTACTGTGCAACAGTGCTGTACTTAACATCTTTATGTAAGAAGCTGACTTGAATCTTTAGTGTTTTCAGTAAATTAACAAATTAAAATACTTTGAAAATATGAGGTAAAACTGACCCGTTGCATCTCCTCATCCTACCATTTTGCTCCATCCCGCCAAATGTTACAAAATTATCTGTGTGTACTTATGTCACTGCTATACACTGTCATTAGTTTCTTGTGTGTCTCTCCAGAGGATTTTAATTTATTTGAAAGACATGGGGAAATCAGTCCTCTATGCACTGATTCATTATGCAAATGTCTACATTATCCAGCGCTGGACCAGGCTAAAGCCAGTATCGCAGAGCTCAAGATCCCAGAATTCAGAAGCCCAGGGCTCAGGATCCCAGACCTCAGGAACCCTCAGGGATATCAGGATCCCAGACCTCAGGAGCCCAGAACTTGGGAACCTTCATGACTCAGGATCCCAGAACTTGTTGAAGCTTCCCATTTGGATAACAGAGGCCCACATCCTCGCAAAGGAAGCCAAAGTCAGAAGCAAAGACAGGACCCAACCCTGCACACTCCAGTATGGGATGCAGGCATTGCAAGTAGCTTGGTGTAGTGATGATTGTGCGACACCCCCACCCCCTGAAATAGCAAATACAGGTGTGTTCTTCCCGCTCCCAAGCACTTCGTTGTTGTTAAGGAAAAGACAGTTCACTGTGTACACTGTGTGTGTCATGTGTTCGTGCTTAGAACCTGAAGTTCTTGCAGCTGGTGAAGAAACTACCTTTCTTTTTTGACAATCAGCAGTTGGTTTTGTTTTACTTTGCTTTCTTTTGGAATGCAGAAAGAGAAACCAAAATCTCCCATCTGCAGTTCATTCCTAAATGTCCACATCAACATAAAAAATATGTGATTTTTTTTTTCTTTCTGGGAGCCAGGAACTCTATCAGGCCTCCCACATAGGCTAGGGACCATGGCAGGAACCCAAGAACTAGCCACCACAGGCTGCCTATCCAAAAACTCCAGTGTGGGATGGTGGTATCTCAAGTGGAGTTCAGCTGCATGTCCAGCCCCTGCTCCTGTGCATTCTGCTGTCTCTGCAGTCTCCTGTTGGTGACTGTGTCGGTTCTACATTGACAGATATTTCCAGTTTTTACCAGAATAGTGTTATTGTGTCATTTCACACTTGAAAGGACACATTCCTGTATGTGATACTGCAGCCCTGCCCATGGTTTGTGTGTGGAGGATATAGGTGTTGGTCTCCTCAGGATCCTGCGCCCCTGCCTGGGGTTTGTGCGTTGAGGATGTAGGTGTCAGCCCCCTTGGATGGTGCTGATTGGCCAGTATGCAGTGTTAGTGCAAAGCACTGCTGATAGCTACATGCTTCCTTACTGGTGTGTGAAAAGCAAGCTTGCCCAATTTTTATTATATAGTCAAAAAATATTCTCTGGGTGTTGTTTTGAGTTGATATTTTTTTGAGTTTAAACATACTTTGGATCACTTGAGAATCAATTTATGTAATTCTGTTTCTACAAACTCTTGAATTAACATTTAAAGTATTATAAACTGTGCACGCACAGTGCACATGGGTGACCACCCTTCCAGTATTCTTAACCGCTTGAGATGTTAAATCATTGAGTCTAGATTCTTGAGTTAATATTTTAAATCTAAAAGTAATGTAGTCAGTAATGAAATAACTACTGATACTTTAAATTGTTTTCGTGGCTTTTTTGGTTGTTTTTGTTTTGTTTTCAGATTTATTTCCATTTGAAAGGTAGATTTTACAGAGAGAAGGAAGGAAAGTCGGGGATCTTTTCATCTGCTCTTTCATCCTCAGATGGTTACATCTATGGGAGCTGAACTGATCCTAAGCCAGGAACTTCTTCCAGGTCCTCCATGTGGGTCCCAAGGCCTGGGCCATCCTGTACTGCTTTGCCAGGGCATTAACGGGGAGCTATATCAGAAATGGAGCATTCAGGTCTTGAGTGGAGGTACTGTAGGAAGCAGATTAGTCTGTTAACGCCACTGCGCTGGCCCCTTAAATCATGATTCTAAAGTGTGTATAGTATAAGGTGATTCAGAATGTCAATGGAAAATGAAATTAAAAGGTTGCCATTGTTGGGGCTGCTGCAATGGCTCAACTGGCTAATCCTCCACCTCCAAGCACCAACAGCCCATATGGACACTGGTTTGTGTCCCAGATGCTCCCATTTCCCTTTCCCTACTTGTGGCCTGGGAACCCAGTGGAGGACGGTCTAAGTTTTGGGGACCCTGTGCCTCTGTGAGAGACCCAGAAGTTCCTAGCTCCTGGCTTCAGATTGGCTCAGCTCCAGCCTTTGCTACCATTTAAGGAGTAAACCAGCAGATGTAAGATCTTTCTGTCTCTCTTCTTTATAAAGATGACTTTCCAATGAAAGTAAATAAATCTTAAAAAAAAAATTGCCACTGTTGTATGTGGACTCACCCTCCACTTGCAAGTTTGGCATTCTGTGCTGAAGTGCCAGTTTGAATTCCTGCTGCTCCATTTTCCATCAGATTTCCTGCTAATGTGCCTGGAAAAGTAGTGGGGGATGACCCAAGTACTTGGGCCTCTGCTGCCCACTTGGGAGATAAGTGTTGATTCTCGGATCCTGACTTCAGCATGCCCCAGACCAGGCTCTTAATGGATATTTGGTGAGGAAAGCAGTTGTTGGTAGATCTTTGTCATTCTCTGTCATTGCCTCTTTTTCTGTAGCTGGGCCTTTGTTAAAGAAAATCTGAGTCTGTTTTCGTCTGTAACATTTGAACCACAAACTAGTAAAGGCATTTCCATGAAGTTTTTCAATATTCCTTACGTGCATTAATTTCACGTTTTTTTTCTCTCTAAAAACTTGGCGGTACCTGTGTCTTTCTTAAAGCACAAAAACTCATTTGATTGTCTGAAACTGACACAGGGACTGCTGATGTCTCTTGCGTGTTTTTTCAAGGAAAAGCTTACCTGAAAATGTTAGGCAAGTTCCACTCTTAATTACATGCATGTGTGATGCTTTGGGATACAGCCTGTAACTGACTGTAAAGAGGCTGGATACACAGCAGGAAATACTATCTTGTATTAAAAAGAGAGAAATCAGATATGGTTGTGTATCCCAGGAGGTCATTTGGAAATGTGTGATGTGTGCATTTTAGTTATTTTTTCATACCTAAATGAACCCATACTAACTGGTTGTAACTTGTCTGGACAGGATCTAGTTTGGAAAGAACCCTGTTAGAGGCACATGAAATCTGTTAAAATTGAAGCAAAACCAAACAAACAGGGAAGTAGTGCTGAGGTTTGCTGGAAGGATGACAAAATCGCCAGTGCTTCACAGAATGTCAGCAGGGCCAGTGCCTCAGGGAGATCAGCAGGGTAGACGTGGATAACTCGGGGCTGGACATGTAGACGGGAGCCTCTACTCCATCAGCCACTTTGGGGACTCTGGGGACTTTGGAAATTCCCCTATGGGTAAGCACGTGGTCCATATCTGGGACTCAGGCAAGCTGGGAAGAGTAACTCCATCCATCAGCAAGTGTGTGCGTTGATTTTGGAAGGGGACAGACCAGACAGGGCCAAGCAAACCTTAGCTCACTGGCAAGTGCAGAAATCAGTTTGGAACACAGGTCGTGCTGGGCTAGGCTGTCACACCTGTCAGTCTGCATGAGCCAGGGATAGGAGCAGACTGAGTAGGGCTATGTTATAGCACCCACCAGTGAGAGCTGGGCTGGGGGCAAGCCTGGTCAGGCCAGGCTGCAGCATCCAAAGGCAAAGGCCAAGACAGGAGGGGCTATGCCAAGCTGGGTCATAGCAACCACTGGCATGCATGAGATCTGTGGCTGGGAGTAGGCCCGGTTGGGGAGCTATGGAGATGCCCTAGCTAGGCTATGGTTCCCACTGGGTGAGTGTGAGGGCCAGAGTGGGGCTGCTGTCAGGTCATGACATGGCTGCAGTGTCCCTCAGAACAAGTGTGGACTGAGTCTTGGGTGCACCATACTGGGCCAGACTACAGCACTCACTCATGCTCGTGAGAACCTGGGTGAGTGTAGGATGGGCTAGGCTAGGTCTCTGCCCCTGCTAAGCCATGTGTGAGCTGTGTCTAGGTGTGGACCAGGCTTTGGCTGAGCAGTAACACCCAACAGTAAAAACTGGAATGGGTGAGGACTAGTCAGGAAAGGCCTCTATTTCTGCTAGGACAGAGGTAGGTTAAGTAGGGCTGGCCCATGGACCCACCAGTGTGCACAGGATCTGGTACTGGGAGAGGTTCTGATGGAGGAGCTTGGGGAACTCCTTTGTTGGAACACAGTCTCTGCAGGTGAGCACAAGAACCATGATAGGGAACAGCCCAGATCAGGTGAGGTAATGGTACCCATTGGCATACATTTGGCTCAGGTCTGGGGCGAACCAGGCTGGGACAGTTCATACCACTTGCTGGCGTATCTGTGCACCAATGGAGTGTGAGTCAGGCTGGGTCAGGCAACACAAGCCAGTTCACATGATAGTCAGAACTGGGGGCTAGCTGGGCTGGGCTGGGCTGGGCTGGGCTCGGCTGTAGCCACCACCAGCATGAATTGGAATTGAGTGTGGGCTGGACCTGGCCAGGTTATAGCACCTACTGGCAAATGCCAAGGTGAGGCAGGCCATTTAGATTGGGCCACAGCACTCAGCACAGTTGAGACCCTGAGGAGAGGAGGGTAACCTGGCTTTGTGGCTGTGTGTGACTCCCTTGCTGGACCACCACTCCCACTGGAGAGGGTGAGAGCTGGGATGGGGGCAGAACAGACCGGGCAGGGCTACAACACCTGTTATCCCTGCATGTGAGCTGTGTCAGGGGAAAGCCAATCTTTTCTTTTTTTTTTTAAGATTTATTTATTTTATTGGAAAAGCAGATGTACAGAGAGGAGGAGAGACAGAGAGGAAGATTTTCCTCCGAGCGTTTCACTCCCCAAGTGGCCACAACAGCCGATGCTAAGCCAATCTGAAGCCAGGAGCCAGGAACTTCCTTCCAGGTCTCCCATGCAGGTGTGGGGTCCCAAAGCTTTGGGCCGTCCTCGACTGCTTTCCCAGGCCACAGGCAGGGAGTTGGATGGGAAGTGGAGCTGCCAGGGATTAGAACCAGTGCCCATATGGGATCCCAGCGTGTTCAAGGCGAGGACCTTAACAATTACACTATCGCGCTGGGCCCAGAAAAGCCAGTCTTGACTGACTGCTCCTACTTGTACATAGACAATCCAAAGTGGGTGTGGGTTGGTTGGATTTTGCTGCAGCATCAGCTGGCAGAGACTGGCATGGGGGGCAAATTCTGTCAAGCTAAACTGATAAGATCCAGGAGTAGGAGTGGGGCCATTAGGGAAACAATGGACACCTCCCTCTTGGGTTACCACACTGTCTGGTGAGTATGAGAACCAGGACTGGGCAGCGGCTAGACAGAGAGTGGCATCTGCCCACTGGATAGTGGGGCTGGTTGGGTTGAAGTAGGCTTCATTGCTTATTGGCATGTATGAGAGCTGAATGGGATGTGGGACAGATAGGACCTGTCTGCTGTACAAATGGGCAAGCATGGGAACCAGGGCAGGGAGCGGGCCTGGCTGGGGTCATTGAGGGTTACTCCAACAAAGCTGCAGTTCCAGTTGGTTTGCAGGGGGGCCTGGTGTATGGTGGGCAGGATTGGGCTGGACTCCCAACACTCATTGGTTTATATTGAAGACAGAGCTGACCCAGCAATTGCAGCTAACATTGTGTGTGACACTGTGTATGCCAGAACTAGTATTGGCAAGCACACACAAGAATCAGATCTGGAAATACCTCAGATAAAGTTTCTATGGAGATCCCCCGCAACTGAATCACTGGACTCAGAACCCCAACCATGGAGAGAATTGCAGGTTCCATGGTCTGAGCGTGGAATGCCATGTGTCAGAGCTGGGCCTCCTCAGTGGCTTAGACAGGTACACATGGAGGACATGGCAGTACATTGGAGTCTGCAGAGAACACCTGGTACCACAACAGAAGACAGAGGACAGAACAAATTGATCAACTACCCCAGCCAAGTGTTGGCAATGAAAATCTGGACAAACGGATACTCCAAGGTAAACTATGTTAACCAGTGGATTCTGGAAAGATTTCATCATGCTTGGAGTGGCAAGATCCACAGTAATTTAGAATTTGTTGAACTATCAAAACCTCTTAAGCAGGAGGACCCTTGGAGCTCGGCCCACATCAAGGACCCTGGGATGGTGTTGGTGGCTGTCCACTTCTGATCCAACTCCCTGCTTATGCACCTGGGAAAGCAGTGGAGAACAGACAAGTCCTTGGGACCGTGCACACGTGGGGGAGGCCTGAAGAAGCTCCTGGTACTCCAGGCTTTGGCCTGGCCCCGCCCAGACCATTGTGGTTGTTTGGGAGGTGAACCAATAGTTGGAAGATCTCTATCCATCTCTACCTTCTCTGACTCTGCCTTTCAAATAAATCAAAGAAATCTTTAAAAAGGAAAAAAGTGGTGAACTCATTTTATAAAAGGATAAGCTGGTATTGAAAATGAACCCCCTGGCTAATTCTGTCCAGTTGAATCCCAGAACCATCTGGAGAGTGCGTAATCTGGGAGTAGGCGCAGGCTAGAAGGGAAATAGTGGGCTCCTCCCTCTTGGGTTACCACTCCCACTGGAGAGCACGAAAACCAGGACAGGGGCTGGGGTGGCTAGACAGAAAGGCACCCAACAACATCTGTGTGGGCTGGATAGTGGAGTTGGTTAGATGGATCTAGGCTTCAAATGCCCATTGACATTAACTATGGAAATAATAGTCTTACCCACTTCCCTTTAGCTCTTGAACCTTTTTACCCTAATTAACTATGTAAAGATTGTCAAAAATACAATAAAAAAAAGAAGAAGAAAAATGCCCATTGACCTGTGTGATTGCTGAATGGGATGTGGGACAGACTGGACTAGTCTGTTGCACATACTGGCAGGCACGGGAACCAGGGCAGAGGGCAGGCCTGGTGGGGGTTATTGTGGGTCGCTCCAACTAGGCTACAGCTCCCACTGGTTTATGTGAGGGCCGAGTGTGTGCTGGGCAAAACCAGGCTGGACTGCAATACCCATTGGTTCCAGTGGAAGTCGGGGCTGAAAACAGAACCAACCCAGCAATTGCAACCACCAGCTGAATGGGGCAATGGACTATACGGGGTCCTGTGCTTGCTAGTACATACAAGAATCTGGTCTGGGAACAGCTCAGACAAAGTTTCTTTGGGGATCTCTCCAATCGAACTGCCGGACTCAGAACCTTAACCATGAAAAGACAGGACAGAACAAGTCAATCAGCTACCTCAGCCGAATGTTGGCAGTAAAAAACTGGGCAAACAAAGACTCTAAGATGGACTATGTCAATCGTTGGATTCTTCAGAGACCTCATCATGCTTGGAGTGGCAAGATTGGCAACAATTCATAACTGGTGAACTATCAAAACCACTTGAGCAAGACCCTCGGAGCATGCCCCACATCTGGGACCTGGGGTGGGTGGGAGACTGGGTGGGGCTTCTCCCTTAATATCTCCCTTTACCTCAGATACATGAAGGAAACAATGTGGAAATAAATAATAGTCTAGACAAGGCGCACTTGTGTGCATAGCCTTAGTGCAGTTTTGGCATTCTTAGTTGTAAGGAAGGACATGCCAGTCTGTGAAGTGGTGCCTATTGCTCCCCTGTGGCACACAGCTTAGGGAGTGTCTTATACCTGCCCTTAGTTGCTATGGGGTAGGTTGCAAAGATGGATGACTAATGATTTTACATTCATAGAGCAGTTTTAAGGGAGTTAGTGTATCCCGTGGTCTGCAGCATGGGAAGCAGCTGTTCTGAGAATGGCCACCTTGGTACCTTGGGCTGATCTGACTGTCCTTCCTCTTGCAGGGACTGAAGACGGGCTGTGTGACATTCCATGTTGGAGAAGAACCAAATGGACACTCTGAGCTGGAACGTAGGACCTGCAGCCTGTCCGTGGCCTTGTGCTAAGCAGGGAGGACATGCCCATTTCACACTGGCTCTTTCTGGGGAGATCTCCTTGCCTAGCGTGTAGCTATAAATACATGTGAAGTTACATGTATATGGCTATATTTTTATTTGCTTGCTCCTAGAAGAAAAAGAAAATTAACTTCAAGTCACAACTAGGAATGGATGCTTTTATTTTTGGAAACTTTTTCAGAATTTTTACTTTCCTATGGTCTGGCCGAAGCTCCTCAGCTGTGTTCAGCTTTTGTGCATGAAACAAAAGCACCAAGGTGAGTGTACATGGGGCTGTGTTTCTGCGCCCCAGGCACTGGCTGGGCTCTGGTGAGGCCAATGGCTCCATGTCCAGGCACCTTCCAGGCCCTGGCTGACGCTGACAGCTCCATGTCAAAGCACCAGCCAGGCTCTGGCTGAGGCCGACGGTCAGCTCTGTGTCCAGATTCCTTTTTGACCCTTTTGCTTTGTACACTCAGAACCCATTGCTGCTGATTTCTAAATGATTCGTGTCGTCACATGTCTCCCAGTAACCTGTGATTTCACCTTTTTTAGAGTCTTAATCCCATGAAGAACATCAGTTCTGATGGAGAAAGACTCAAAGCTGTATTCCCCAGTTGATGTTTCTGCTGTATTTTTAGTTGCGTACAGTGTGCCGCAGACCTGTTTCCCGTTTGTCACAAACACAGTTTTGTTCTTCCTGCCTCCAGACAGAAACTGTACCACACTATGGGTGTGGACTAACCTGTGATCAGTGGCTGGATTGAAGGAGCTCATTTCCTGACATTTGTAAGAATACATGGTGTTGCTTGCTGAGCATACAGGACTGAGTGTGACTGTGGGTGCACTGTGCCTGGGTTTAGGTGACAGATGGGTTTGTTTCTCTTGTGGTAGGAACAGCTGCAAGGGTGTGCTGTGTCACAGGGCTACCGGCAGCATGGCAGGGCACATGGGCAGCCTCTAGCCACACAGGGAGGTGGGAATGCACAAGGGTCCACATGGGAGGCTTCCCTCCGCTGCACCTATGGAGTGTGAAGGCCTGGGCACCTGCAGTGGGGGCAGGGGACAGTCGCCGTGGATGTCGGGTCTGTGCCATGTCCCACAGGAGCCTGCTCCCCTACCCTGCCCAGCTCATGGTCTGTAGCAGCACAGAAGTCTCCTAGACTGCGTCCTGTACATATTCCATGTGTGGTAATGGAGTCTTCCTGATACATGCAAGGTGGTGATTTAATGATGGGGTTAGTCTGATCACTTATTGTGCACAGTCCTGGAAGTGAATAACTTGCATCGGATATAATGATATTTATTATTCTGTACAGAGAGAACATACAAAACAAATGCTTATGTCACATGCACGCAGATTTCACGCTCTAATGTTTTCTATTTTTTTAATTTACTTTAAATGATGTGCATGGAATATGCCTTATTACAGAGAAATGTCATTCATAATTTGACTACATAGAAAAGTGCCTCTGCGGTGGTTATGCCAGTCGGGCAAACAAGACAAGTGGTCATGTCAGTCACTGCGCCCCAGTCAGCATTTTATATTGTCATGTTTAAAAAAGAAAAGTTTATACCTCAAATGTGTATTTTATTTTACAATCAGCTATGGGTGGGATGGGAAGATGGGAGATGGGGTGGGCAGAGTGCAGACAGAGCCACTGCTGGGAATCCCAGAAGCACTTTGCTCCCTGTGAATGTTTTCATGCCACTGCTGGTACCTCGTAAACACAAAGAAGGCCTGCCTGAGTCGATGCTTTGTTTTAGAATTGTGGAAATTTACGAAGCAGCATCCGGATCTCATTCTGCTTAATTGCATTTGGGTTAAATATGATAGTCTTCTTTTGCAATTCTGTAAATGAAATGATTCTACTGGAAGTGTTTGTAGTAAAAAAGAAAAAGAGAAAGATACATTTTGAAAGAAATGTGCTGGTTCTCACTGGAGTTCATCCCACCCACTCAGGTGTGCAGGTGATTCAGGAATGCGGGGATCATGGTGGAGCCCTGACCTCTGACAGCCTCAGGCTTCCACCCCAAATGTCTGCCAGGATTCTCACCCATAGACATTCTCTTCTGCCTGGCAGGAAGGAAGCATTCTCCTTTTTCTTTTGTGCTTTTGTGCATTTGGAACCCATTGGACACGTAGGGACTGTTTATCCCTGTGAGCCTGGGACGTGGCAGGAGCAGTGTTCACACACTGTTTGGGGCCTTTTGCTCGAGCAGGGTCTGTGAAGGAGGTCGGAGAAGGCAAGGGAAGCAGGAGTGGGCTTCCCAGCTGCCTCTGTGTGGCTCCCGTGGGCTTCCAAGTTGCTTGTCCCATCCAGCCTGTACTGGATCCTTCTTCGTTCAACTGCAGACTCAAAGCATAATTGTTAAAGTACTTTGAAAGTGTGGAGTGTAACTGTTCTAAATAGCTTTACCATTCTGATGATTTTTTAAAATAATAAAGTGGGATCTTCCATGTTACAATCAATTAAAACCAGTATTTAAAAGTGGAAAAGTATTAAAATATTATGGACAAAAATGCTTGCCTGATTGGTTTTCTTTAACCCTGTGTAATTCTCTGAAGAGCTGAAAGCTTGAAATACTCTGGTTCCATGTCCTTCAGTCTAGTCAGGAAACATAAAAACATTCCTGAGTTTAGTTGGTGAAGGTAAGTGTTCCCATTTGCTTCCCATTTCAGGTTCCCTCCACGCATGCCTACAACAGCCACAACAGGGCTAGGCCAGCCTCAGTATGGATGGCAGGAACTTGCTGCCTCCTCAGGTCTGCATGAGCAGGAGGTGGGGTCAGGAGCTGGAGGTGGACATCACCTGGGTACTAAGATCTGATCTGCAGACATCGAAACCGCTGGGCCAGGAGCCTACTCTTAGCATATCGAGTGCGTGACGTGTCATACCACCTTGGTTTATTGGAGTATGATTAGCTGCCTTGTACTCAGGAAATTTGTGCCAAACCCAGTGCGATGCCCTAGTGACTAAATCCTCACCTTGCATGTGCCATGATCCCATTCGGGTGACGTTTTGAGTTCTGGCTGCTCCATTTCCCTTCCAGCTCCCTGCTTGTGGCCTGGGAAAGCAGTCGAGGACGGCCCAAAGCCTTGTTACCCTGCACCCACATTGGCAACCCAGAAGAAGCTCCAGGCTCCTGGCTTCAGATCAGCTCAGCTCTGGCCATTGCGGCCATTTGGGGAGTGAACCAGTAGTTGGAAAATCTTTGTCTCTATTCTCTCGAAATCTGACTTTCCAATAAAAATAAATCTTTAAAAAAGAAGTTTGTGCCTTGGAACCACCATGAGTTGGGAAGTGTGGGTTTGCAGCTCAGTCTGTTTGTGAAGAACTTGAGTGGGTCTCTTGTAATGTTCGCACATGTACATGTCATCAGGTGTCCCTGAACAGCAGCCAGCTCCCTGCCCACTGGTAGTGTGGGGAGGGTCATGGCTGCCATGGCCCCAACCTGGGCCGTAGAGTACGTCCTGTGAGTGAGGCATCTAATGGTATCTTCACAGTTTCTTTGCATTTTGAGAAGTGGAGTACAGCAGGTGAACCTTTGCACTGCCACCTGCTTAGAACATGAGTTCTGTGAACTGCCCACATCTGTAGGCGTTGAGAAGACTAACAGAAGCTGTGCTTCCTGGGCCCCTCATCCTCTTGGGTTAAATTCTGTGAGCTTAGTAAAACATTTTCAGGATCTTTGAAGCGATGTATACATGTTTCATCGGGCTGCTGGTGGTGGGTGGGCTGGAGCAGGCCAGGAACCAAGTCCTGCTCAGGTCTGGTTTTCCTGTCTAGTCTGCTGTTCTTCTAACACGTTTTTTATATGTAAATATTTTTATTGGAAAGAGAAGGATCTTTCACCCACTGGTTCACACCCCCAAGTGGCCACAACAGCCAGAGCTGAGCTGATCTGAAGCCAGGAGCCTGGAGCTTCTTCTGGATTGCCAATATGGGTGCAGGGTCCCAAGGCTTTGGGCCTTCCTCAACTGCTTTCCCAAGCCACAAGCAGGGAAGTGGAGCACCTGGGATATGAACCGGCACCCATATGGAATCATGGCACATTTAAGGCGAGAACTTCAGCCACTAGGCTGTCACGCAGGACCCTCTTACACTTGTGTTCTCAACCCCATGCTTCAGTGTTGGGTCTTTAGAGCCACCACACAGAGGAAGGGAGTCCCTACAGAGATTTTATCACAGTCTGTTTCCTCAGCTGCCTCTTGTCTGCCAGTGTACATGGGAAAGGGAGCTTGTCAAACAGCCGTAAGCAAGTCCACAACAAGTATTGCATGGATTTTCCAACTGATCACATGAAGAAGCAAGCCAAGAAAGCAATGGATTCCCCAAGTCTGCCACCATGCCCGTGGTAAGAAGGTTCTAAATCAGTGCCACCATGCCACCGGTAAGGAGGTTCTAATATGGTTCCATCCTCAGGAGAGACCGGGTCCACTGGGCCTTAAGGTGTCATCCAAGGCCTCTTCTAGTGTGGCCTCACCTCTGTCATTGCCCTGCCCACCCTCATGTCCTCCCTGCCGGCCCTGGGGATTGGGGTGGGGTCTGACCTCACCCATGTCTTCCCCCTGCCCACCCTCAATTCTGTTTCACCATGTTTACCCCATGCTTGCCCTCAGGTCTGGTTTCACCCTTGTCCTGCCTGCTCTGGGGGTTGGGGGGCCTGACTTCACCCCTGTATTCTCCATGCTTGCTGACCTGCCCTGGGTCCTGACCTCATCTGCGTCTCTCCTTGCCTCCCTCCCTGCCTGCCTGGCCACAGTCCTGCAGACACCACTCCAGTGAGGAACAGCACCTCCCCCAACCCAAAGTTAGTGCTGGTTCTCCCACCGACATGCACAGCCTTTCCCAGCCACATCCCTTCCCTTTGTGCAGGCTTGGCTGTCTACTCGGTGTTTGTGAGTTCCGTCAGCTGCCCCCATCAGGTAGGCCCAGCACGAAACATTGAGTAGGTGGTGACAGCAAGGCACCTGTGGCACAGGCAGGGTGGGAGCCGAGGACCAGGTGGATGTTTGAAAGCAGAATGCAGGGAGGTGAAAGATGGGTCCAGCACAGGTAGATGCTGCTTGATACTCTAATAGCCCCCAGGAATGGTGCAAACCAGTGGTGTGGCCACAGGTCTCCACTGCAGAGGGTCTTGTGCCATGCTAGGTGTGCAGATGCTAGCTAGGAGAGATGGAGGCTGAGGGGCTGCGGGGAGCCCATGGTGGGTGCCAGCTGAGGGGCTGCAGGGTGCCCGTGGTGGGTGCCAGCTGAGGGGCTGCGGGGTGCCCATGGTGGGTGCCAGCCTGCTTGCCGCTAGCTAAATATCTGAGGTGTGTATCAGCTTGTGTCTCCAATCCTTTGAGGTACTGATACCTTCTATATGTGTCCCTCAGAGGACAGGCACAGTGTTTCAGGGAACTGAGTCTCAGGAGCCAGCAGTTAAGACAGTCGTGTTTATATTGGGGTATCTGGATTCAATTCCCATCCCTCTACCAATACAGATCCTGGGGGCAGCAGAGGATGCCTCAAGTACTTGGGTCCCTGTCACCCATGTTGGAGACCCACACGAAGTTCTCAGTTCCCCAAATCGTGTTCCAGCCCAATCAGTCCAGTGAACAAGATGGGAGATTGTTGCCTGCCTCAGGCATCTAAGAATGAGCTGACAGTTGGCACAGCTGCAGGGCTGGAGTGAAGGTTTCCAGTTTCTGGCTCCTGTAGCCCTGACCCCCTTTCCTTGCTTTGGGTGTTTTCAGCTTGGAGGCTGACTGGTTCACGGGTGGGCACACAGCAGGTGCAGAGGACCATATAGGCCCTTGTCCTAAGGGAACACGCAGTCTTGAGGAGACCTGTGCATGAAACAAGATTCACCGCAAGAGTGTAGAGGGAGAAAGTTTTCAGCACTTAGCTGCAATTTGTCATTTCATCTTTTGTTGGATAGTGCACATTGTCAATGTAATTCACCAAGAGGTAGGTCTGGGTCCCAAGCAACTTTCCTGATGGGTGCAGTATGTTCAAGGTTTGGAGTCCTGGGCCTCTTTCCAGTGAGGGGAACGGCGTCTGGCTCCGCAGAGGGCACCATGGCCTGAGGCGGGCAGCTGCTCCTTCCCGAGTGTCCTAGGAGGGGGTCCAGAACAGCTCTAGGAGGAAGCTGCGTGCAGGTAGAGGTTCCCGTTTGACCCTGCAGGGCCAGAACTCTGGGGCTTCAGTGTTTCTACTACATGTGTGGTCAGAGACCCTACCCTAACCCACCCACCAGGCTCAACAGGCTGAATGGCTGCTGCTCTGGGATACAGGGGACCACATTCAGCATTCACCACTTTGCAGGAGAGTGGAATGTTGATGGTAAGGACAGTGGGGCCTTTTGGAACTTACTGGGGTTTTTTGTTAAGATTTATTCTTATTGGCAGATCAGATTTATGGAGATGACAGAAAGATCGTCCATCCGCTGGTTCACTCCTCAAATGGCTGCAACTGCTGGAGCTGAGCCAATCCCAAGCCAGAAATCAGGAGCTTCTTCTGGGTCTCCCATACGTGCAGGATCCCAAGCCTTTGGACCATCCTCAACTGCCTTCCCAGACCACAAGCGGAGTTGGAAGGAAAGTGGGGAAGCTAGGACAACCAGTACTTGCTAGGTAAGGATCGTCACTTAGCCATCATGCCAGGCAGGCCTAAGCTGTTGCTTTTTTTTTTTTTTTTCTTTAATTGGAAAGTCAGATATACAGAGGAAGATCTTCCATGCATTGACTCACTCCCTAAGCAACCTCAACGGCCAGAGCTGAACTGATCCAAAGGCAGGAACTTGGAACTTCTTCCAGGTCTCCCATGTGGGTGCAGGGTCCCAAGGCTTTGGGCCGTCCTCAACTGCTTTCCCAGGCCACAAGCAGGAAGCTGGATGGGAAAAACTGGTGCCCATTAGAACCAGCACCCATATGGGATCCCTGTGAGTGCAAGCCAAGGACTTTAGCCACTAGGCTACTGTGCCAGGCCCAAGTTATTTTATTGTTCGTATTTGGCCCTTAGGGAACAGTGTTAAAAAAAATCAGAGATGTGGTCCTAGATGTCTCTCTGGGGCTGTCCTTCCACACTGAAGATGCAGACTTTGTTGTTCAGCGACTAGCAGTGGAAGGAACAGTAAGTCCAGGGTTTTCCTAATTATTGTACCTCTAGGACTACTTGGTTAGGCTTCATTAACCAGCAGTTGAACTCTGCGCTTCCAAGCTGTTACAAAGCACAGACCGAGACAGGGCTTCAGGCTTTATTACTGGTTGCTGGACTGGTGTTCATGACCAGAGGGTCAGGGTGGGCAGAATCATCCTCCTTCTGCACGTGGCATTTCACTGTCACCCTTCTCATCAGATACTAGGCTAGGACCAAGAACAGCCCCTCCTGGGTGTTGGTTAGTGAGGAACACACAACACATGAATGAACATGTTTCTAATACTGTGGGTTAACAAGAGCAGGACCTGTGAAGCTGTTAGGGCCATGAGGGTTGGCCCACCCTCAACCAACGGAATTTGACACTGTCCCATCAGGCCACACCTCCCACAGCAGCTGAAGTACTCGCTGTGTGAGGCAGCATACCTGGCCATCTTCTGCCAATTCCCTCTACATAGACTACCTGCTGTTTTTACCAACTAGGAGTTCACTAATAAAATTATGCCTTTTCTAGCTAGAGCAGCAGTCTGAGAAATGGCGGATTTGAATTTCCTGTCCACTAGAGGCCTTTGTGACTTAACCTTCCACGTGGTGTTCCCTTCAGGCTGGAACCTCAGCCCGTCCGGCGCACAGGGGTCACGGAAGGAGAACAGCTCAGAGGATCCTTACTTCTCCGTGCCTCATCCCCCTCCCTCAGCAGCTGCGCATGCACGTGAGGCGGAATTACGGGCCTCCCTCTACAAGGTCGTTGGAGCACATCAGCCTTTGTATCTGAAAGTCATCTGGTGGGCATAGTTAACCTGAAATAACCAAACCCACTTGGTGTCAGGAAACACAACTCTACCCTGCCATTATGCGGTGGTCCTGTACCCCCCTCCACACACACACACTGCAGGCAACGCTGGCAAAGGCTGGTGCCTACCCCCAAGCCACCGGTTAACGGAACAAGAGAGGTTAACTTCCAAACAAGAGAGATTCACTTCCTCTTCATAATTTACTCAGCTGGGAAAAAGTACTCTGTAACAAAGTGTATACAATGTAACAACCATACAAAACAGGGATTGAGCACAAACAATCTAGTTACAGTCTGTGAGATGCCAAAACAAGGTCACTGCTGGGGAGTGGCAGCTGCAGCTGGTGGAGTCCTGTTGCTGGCCAGCAACATGTCCACAGCTCTGCAGACACATGGCCTTGGCCAGGCCCTACCCAGCGCTCTGCAGCTGCCTTCCATGGAATGAATAAAGCACTTCTTTTTACAAAAAATTTTTTGAAGATTTAGCAAATCTGCCAACCCCCCCAGAAGCTAAGAGCTTTCCTGGGGCCAGCATGGGCATCAGTCACCAAGGCCCAGTGGCTCTGTCAGCTGACCCTCCCTGTCCTCCGGCACCCTGGACAACACAAAAGCAAGCCAAATCTTCTGGCTCAAGCTAGAACGTTTTCTCAGTGTACAAGTTGATTTTTCTTTATTAAGCACTTTCAATAAACTCCCAGCTTTAAGAAGCTTTATTACAACATTTACAGATGATACAGCTTTTTTTTTTTTTTTTTTTTTTTACAAAAACTACCTATGCTTTCCGCTAAATAAAGTTGGCTTAGAGAAATGGTATTTTTCTCTGAGAAAACTTTCCATGCTGAGTTATGAGGTGTCACAGACTTGCTAAGTGAGGCCCAAGCAAGACAGAGCTGCACAAGACCCTCCTAGTGCTGGTCTGGACTGGCGTGGGCTCTCCTGGCACTGCTCAGCCCAGTGCTCAAGCTTGAGGTAAGAGGTAATCCTTCCCTCACAGATGCGGTCCTCTCAGAACATCTTGTTAGTTCCTCCCAAAATCAAATTCGACCAGCACCAAATGAAGTATTAGTTTACAAAAAAAAGTAGTAGTAGCTCTTTACATTTTAAAAGTTCTACCACTCAAGACAATAAATTATAAAATCATGGATTTTGTCATCTATAGTATAATTTAAAAATCCATTTTCAGCCCATGGAGGTGCAGGAGGAGGGCAGCTTCACAGCGATCACCATCAGCTCCTGACAAGGAAACACTTTCTCCAGCTTCTCTTGCAGAGTCTGCCGGTGATGCCTCGAGGCCCCACAGCCAAGGAGATGTCTTCCCAAGCACCCAGCATGGAAGGCACCCACGCTGCTCCACGTCTGAGAGATCTGTGCGGCAAGGACCCCAACCTCTGCGAGAGCCCAAAACCAAGCGCTCATCTTTCACAAGACATCGAGACTTTTAATTCACAGACTTTATGTGAGTCCTCGGAACCCAGTGCCCACAGAGTCTCGGTCCCAGCCGCTGGGCGCCTCAGGCTGCCTTCTCAGTGCAAGTGCCCTGGAGGTCTCGTAAGTTTATCTTTGACCTGTGACCAGAAAAGACAAAGCAGCAATGTTCTTAGACTACCATCCCCGAGGAATCGATGCAAGGACCGCATTCTACATAATAAGTCTCACCTGTTGTGAATCATGTGACTTTTGACAAGATGCCCAGCTGCCAGTGCTGCCATCAGTGACAGCTCCCCTGCCATCACGGTCCCACACACAATTCGGGCGAGCTGCCGCGCGTTCTCCCCAGGGCTGTCCTTGCAGGCTCCCTGAACACCCAGCATCTACAGGCAGAGAAAGACACCACAAGGCTGAGTCAAGACTGCACAAGAATAAGACTACAATGGGCAGTATGTGGCAGCAGGACTAACACTGCAGCTACAACTCATGTCTCAGTGTGGCTCCAAGCAAAATGAACCTTCCATGTTGTTAGGTGTGTGCCTGAACATGCCTGACCAGACAAACCAAGTTAGGCCAGTAGGGAAAAATGAAAATGAAAAACAGCTATAAAAAAGAGACAAGCAAAGTGAAGTGTGCAGTCGGAAAAGAGCAGAGCCAGCTGCAATGCGGCCATACCTGCAGACAGGCCTGCTGAGGCAGGAGGTTGGTTCCGCCCCCCACAGTTCCTATTTCTATGGACGGCATGGTGCAGCTGATGTACAGGTCTTCATTGGCTGGGCCAGTGGCTTCCATGAGAGTGATACAGTTTGAACTACCAACATTCTGTGCCGCATCCTGAAAGGAAGCACACACACACTAGTCACTTTCGCCCAGGACCGTGTGGGAGAGGCAGAGTGGACGCAAGCACGCACCTGCCCACAGGCAATGTAGATAGCAGTGACAACGTTGGCCGCGTGGGCATTGTAGCCCCCGATGCTCCCAGCCATAGCCGAGCCCACCAGGTTCTTGTTGATGTTGACATCGACCATGGCCTCAGTGGTGGTCTTCAACACCTGCAGGACAGAGGGGCAGTTCACATCTCCCTCAGGCCTACTGAAGGCATGGGAGGAAGGTCCCCTCAAGTCCCACCTGACATGGATGCCACACTCGGACAAACATCATCACTAATGGAAAATACAATTCAGTGTGCCTAATTGCATTGAAAATGTTAATACTACTGGTTCCAACTTCTAAATCCAAACGTCATCCCGACACTCACTTCTCTGACAACCTTGGCAGGAATGACTGCCTCACAGATCACAGTCTTTCCTCTTCCTTCTATCCAGTTTATGGCAGCAGGCTTCTTGTCAGTGCAGTAGTTACCGCTGACGGCCAGAATCTGCATCTCTGGGAAATATTCCTGAAGTTTTGAAAGTGCTTTCTCTGTGCCCTGTCGACAATAACCAACAGCACATTATAATGCATGAAGTATTTGTTACTATGGATTAGAATATAATTATCTAAGTAAGCTCAATGAGAGTGCAAAATAGCCATTCAACCCACAATCAACATATAATAAATAGCCAGTTCTGGTTATTGAAGTCAGGTGTCTAAAAGCCCATGGAGAGAAACAGGCAAGTTGGAAAGATGGTGGGATTTATAGTACATAGTAAAACAGCCCTTCCAGGGACAGTCCTGACCTCAGTAATGCAAAATGTACTGGCACTGAGACATTTTAATTGTAAAATCACACTTAAGTGTCCCAGTCTATTTTAGTGTCATGATCCTTCACTGCTGTACAACTAATTTTCAAATCTTTTTCAATCTTACCTAACGACTTCCCGCTCTCCACTCCCCTACACTCCCTGAATGACAACTCTGGGGACCTCACGTAAATAGACCATGTGGTCTTTGAGGGTCTGTGTCCGTCCAGCCTCACCTTGGAGATCATGTTCATGCCCATGGCATCCCCTGTCCGGGACTGGAAACGGATGTAAAGGTTGCGTCCAGCCATACTTGTATGGAGTTTCTGCAGACGTGCAAACCTGGGAACATGCACAATCAGCGATTTTCTTTTAACTGTTTCACTTCACATTTGAAAGAATGACAGAGGAAGAGACATAATTTCTGTTTTCTGGTTTACTCCCTAAATACCCACATCAGCCACGGAAGGCCAGGCCAAAGTCTGTGGAGTCTAGAACTTTATCCAGGTTTCCATGAGTGGTGGTGGTGGGGGGGGGCCTCTGCTGCTTGCCCAGGCACAAGACCAGGGTGCTACATTGGAAGTAAGTAGTAGCCAGAACTCTGAGCAGCACCCAGACATGGCAGACAGGTGTCTCAAGCAGCTTAACAGAATGTAACCAACTGGACTGTAACACTCACCCCCTGCATGCTTTCCTGACAGAGAAGTCCGCATAAAAGCAGCAGCAGCAGCTGGCGCCATGGTGTCATGGGCCAAAGCTCCACCTGCAGTGCCACTATAACCACATAGGTGCCAGTTTGAGTCCTGGCTGTTTTATTTCCAATCCAGCTCTCTGTTCATGGCCTAGTAAAGCAGCAGAGGATGGTTCAAGTCCTTGGGTCCCTGGACCCACGTGGAAGACCTGTAAGACGCTCTGGGTTCTGGGCTTCAGACTGGCTCAATTCAGCTCTAGCTGTTATGGGCATTTGGGGGGTGAACTGCCTAACCCTTCTCTCTCTGGAACTCTGCCCTTCAAATTAAAAATATATCTAAAAAAGCAAGCATATAATATGTTACTGCATGTACTCTTGTGTACTCTGTAATTCCACTTCTTTGCAAAATATTTCAGAATAAACCCATCAAGCTTAATACTTCCATCCTTCTTAGAAACCTTATATTCCTTAAGACACCATTCCCCTGGGACACAGAAGAGATCTATTCCCATTCACTAGCTTACCCTTTCTTACAGATTTACCACATGGAAATCCTACTCTGAATCAACATTCTTGCCCTTGTGTCCTGGGCCTAGGGAGGCTGCAGGCTGCAGACGCTGGGTGTCCGGGTATCTGCAGCTGTCTTTTTTGGCAGCGGGGAGCTAAAAGGGAGTTTGAAAAGGTGGGTTGCCTTCCGTCCAGAAGCAGCAGGACCCTATGTAACAGCTGTATGGAGGTTGGTAGCTTTGTGAACACTATCCCATGGACATTCCAGTTCTGTTTAGTTACCAGCCAAATTCCTGACACCCTCTGAACATGCCCACGTATGAAAACTTCAGAACACTTCAATTTCTGAGTGCTCTAAGACTGACCAAGACTGCAGGGAACAGGATGTGCTATGGTTCAGCCCAGGAACCTACTGCAGGCTGACTGGCCCGCATCTGGAGTGTGTTGGGACAGGGGCGCCCTCTGTCAGAATCAAACCTTCTCTTCCCCTACTTCCAAATAGCACTCTTCTGGAATGAACGGATTCAAAGTGTGTGACGGTGCTTTAAGCATGCACAGACCTGCTGGTGCTATCAAAAGCCTCCTTGATCACTGCAAACCCTTCAGGGGTCTCGAGCCAGGCCTTCACTTCTGCAGAGTCGCAAGCACGGGGAAGACGCACCACAGGGCCTCGAGTCATCCCGTCTGCCAGGACCCGGCTGCTGGCACCTCCACCAAGCTATGAGGGATCGTCACAGAGGGACCAGTTAGCCTTGAAGCATCCTTTGTGCCACTTCCCTGCTTGTCAACTTGTCTAGGGTGTATATATTCCAACTTACGCAGATTGCCCTGCAGCCTCTGTTAGTGCTAGCCACAAGACATCCTTCTGTCGTTGCCATTGGAACCTGAAATTCTTTGCCATCCAAGCAAAGAGGTCCCACCACTCCGACAGGAATGGGCATATAGCCAATCACATTCTCACAGCAAGCACCCATCACCTACGGGAGAGGGAAAACCAAGGGGGAATGTTTCAACACTAAGTTCAGAGTCCTCACTAGCCCTTCAGATGTAGCAACAGAACTTTATTCTCTAAAAGCGTTTTAAAAAACTAGAATCTTTGAATTACTGTAACACCAAAACGTGTTAGATCTCTACTGCCTACATCTGAAGCAGAATAGAAAATTATAGTAAAATTATTTTAAAAGAAAATGTTTCATAAAATGGAACTACATATAGAAAAACTATTAATAATTCTTTAAAAGACTAAAAAAAACATGACGTACCAAGGAGTAATTATAGTCCCGGTAGGGTAGGTGCTGGAGGGAAGAAGGTTCTGGAAGCTTTTTGGAGAGTAACTGCCGGCGGATGGATACGCCTCGTTCATGTGTCTCCATCAGAGTCTCCAGCTTGTATGCCGGGATGTGCTTTGCGTTGACTAACTGGATGACCTCAGCATCACTAAGGAACTTTGCACCTTTCTAAAGAAGAGAGGAGAGCCAAGGAGGGGAGTTAGGACAGTGACAGCCAAGGACTATGGCATTCAGCCTCCCTTATACACAAGCCACTTAGCACAAATAATCCTAACTTATAACTTTTTTCTAGAGCTAGTTTTTAAATGCAAGCAATGTTACATGAAGTAACAGTCTGAACTGCAGTTTTCACAGTACAAGAACAGAACCTGCAAGTCAGGTAGAGCAGGGAGAGAGTGCTGGGCTCGATGACTGGCTCCTGTCCCAGGTTCCTGCTGGCGCAGACCCGGTGCATGTGTCACTGTTGGGGTTCTGTCACCCACATGGTGGACCTGGATTTGCTGTCCCAGCCCCCGTCAAGCCTGAGGTCAGCCCAACCATCAGAGCCATCTGGGCAGTCAGACAGCAGAGGGAAGTTCTCTTTCTGTCTCAACTGTTTAAGACTTAGTTTTCATTGGAGAGGAAGACTTCCGGAGAGAAGGAGATATAAAGATCTTCCATGTAATGGTTCACCTCCAAAATGGCTGCAACAGCCAGAGCTGAGCCAATCCGAAGCCAGGAGCCAGGAGCTTCTTCCAGGTCTCCCATGAGGGTACAGGATCCCAAGGCTTTGAGCCATCATCCACTGCTTTCCCAGGCCACAAGCAGGGAGCTGGATGGGAACTACAGCAGCTGGGACACGATCTGGCGCCCATATGGGATCCTGGCACTTGCTAAGGGAGGATTAGCTAACTGAGCCATCATGCCAGGCCCTCTGCTTCAAAATTATGAAAGACAGACACACCTTCGCAGGGCTCCAGTGTGTCTACTAAGAAAACAACAGTAAAGCCTCACGGACATCCTAGCAAGATAACGCATTCCCGTAGCAGAGGAAGTGACAAAGACCAGAAACGCTCCCAACTCTGCCATCTGCCCTATTCACCGACAAGATAAACCTGTAGCCACTATTTCACCTGACTGTGCATGGATGTCAAAAAACACACTGCAGTGTTGGATCAGAAGACATGTATACTCAGTTTTATAAATGTGTTCATCTTTCTAAGTTTACTAAATTTAGTAAATATTGCTAAGTGACCTCTCCCAGCAACCTTAACAGAATACTTGTGTGTTATTAACACTACGCTCTAACCAACTGAGCTAAGAATGCTTGTATGTTAGTACATTTTCGATTACTGTCGATCAGATATAGTTTTAACATGTATTTCTCTTAGGGTAAGGTTGATCATTGGAAAGTAAGATATGCGGAGAAGAGGAGAGACAGAGAAGATGATCTTCCATCCATTGATTCACTCCCCAAGCGGCCACAACAGCTGGTGCTGCACTGATCTGAAACCAGGAGCCAGAAGTGTCTTCCAGGTCTCCCAGGCAGGTGCAGGGCAGCTGTCCTCAACTGCCTTCCCAGGACAGAAGCAGGGAGCTGGATGGGAAGCAGGGCTGCCAGGATTAAAACCAGTGCCCATATGGGCTTCCTGTACATGCAAGGTGAGGACTTTAGCCACTAGGCTCCCGTGCCGGCCCCATCTTTTCATATTTTTAGGAGCTACTGTTTCCATTATATGTGCTCTTTTTATTTTAAATGCATGTGAAAGGGAGGCAGGAATAGAACTCCCCTCTGCTGATTCACTGGGCAGATCTTTGACAGCTGGGGTGCGCCAGGACACAACTGAGCTGGGAGCTGCATGCACATCTCCCAGGGGATGGCAGAGCCAACCACAGACCAAGAGAGTCAGCATGAGACACAGCCATCCTGAGGAGAGGATTCACAGCCACCCCAGTGCCATTTAACATCAGTACAGTCATAAAGAACCAGTATTTTCCATGATCTAGCTCCCTGCTAATGGCCTGGGACAGCAGCAGAGGGAAGCCCAAGTCCGTGGACTCCTGCGCTGCCATGTGAGACCTGAAAGAAGTTCTTAGCTTCACATTGGTTCAGCCCCCTCCCACTGTTGCTATTGGTGGACCGAACCATCAGATGGAAGGTTTTTTCTCTATATAAATCTGCCTCTCAGGCCTGGTGCAGTAGCCTAGTGGCTAAAGTCCTCGCCTTGCACACATCGGGATCCCATATGAGTGTTGGTTCATGTCCCAGCCACTCCATTTCCCATCCAGCTCTGCTTGTGGCCTGGGAAAACAGTGGAGGATGGCCCAAAGCTGCTAGGGTCATGCAGTGGGTGTGGATGACACGAAGGTGTGAAGATAATAGCTCCCCTGTTTGGCAAGGCCCGGGGGAGCTTCCAGCTGTTAGGCAAGGCCCAACGGAGGTCTCACTGACCACCTTGACCCTGTTTTCACCCCCTGGTTGCATGGACACTCAAGCACTCCACTAAGAATTCTGTAATCTATTGAGGCATTGTTGTTTGGCCCTGTGAGACTTGAGAGTTAACGTCACTGATAATGTCTTGGTGAGTGGGCCTTTGACAATTTACACACAGGAGCACAATTAAGCCCATGCTATTTTGGAAACCTTATTGTGTGCTAACCATTGCCTCAGAATCTGGCCCAGACCCGTAGCACTCCTTCTGGGAAGGGGCTTGAAAATATCCTAAACATTAATGCAAGTGATGAGAGAGCTGAAACTGCTATGGCAATAAATATAGTTATTGTTATCTCAAAGGCTAGCCTGTCTTTGCAATTTTTTTGGAGCATAGAAAATGTAACTGTTTTAGCCGCTTTTTTAGCTAGAGGAATTAAAGATGCTTTTATTAAAGAAAAATGCTTTTGATTATTGTTTCATTGTTTATGAGGTTGTAGAGTCTATAATTGTAGGGGGATTTAATATTTGAAACTTTTGTTTTAGATTTTATATTTTTTCCCTCGTAACCTACTTTCCCATTAAATGATGGGTAAATTGTAGAAGCAGAAATGTGGTGGGAATTTACTACTGATTAGCAGGCAATCGCATGTGCCTTGGCCTTGGAGTCCTGGCTGTTGCTCCATGGCTACTGTTGAAGAATAAATAATGGCTTGCTTTGAAGAATGTGAATACAGTATTTTGCAGAATTCTCTTTAGGGGCACCTGCTTAGCCCTGAAGTACAGACAGAATGACCAAATGTCTGTACATGGCCCCTTAGTCTTGAAGTAAAAAACAGAACAATTAGTTGCTTGTGAGATATCCGAGCAAATAAAATGGACAGCCTTTTCTTGAGTTGTTGTGAGAGCGCACCAAGTGACAGTGTCTGTGTCTTTCTTTACCGCTGACTCCACGCACCCTTCCAGAGCTCCAAACTCGGCTGGAGCTGGACTCCGGCACAAAGCCTTGGGAGCCTGAACCTGCGAGGGAGACTTGGGAGAAGCTCCTGGCTTTGGTCAGCTTAGCTCTGGCCATTGTAGCCACTTGGGGAGTGAAGCAGTGGACAAAAAATCTTTCTCTCAATCTGCTTTTCCAATTAAAAAAAATTAAAATCTTTACAATCATAAAGAAGTGTGTACTACTTCAGGAAATGACTGAATCCCCTGCAGCCTCAGGATCTTCCCCTCCCACCCAGCAGCTGAACACAGGTAGTAAAGCACCGGGAACTCAGTACCCAGCGGGTACTGGGTTTCTCTCCTTTCTGTAAGGAAATGCCGCGCTGAGTTTGCCTCTGTCCTCACCTCTGCATTCCCAAGGATCTGCAGACACTCTTCATTGGGCCGAGGCTCCCGGGGCAGTTCAATCTCCACTTCCTGTGTCTCCAGGACCAGGGAGGTATCAGGCAGAGAGGAGCCACCCACCACAAACACAGCTCGGTGTGAGGGGTCCGTTTCCGCCACCAAGGGCTTTATAACCTCAGCTGTTCAAGAGAGTACAAGGAATCTCACAATCTTAAACTTCACATTTAGCGTAGCCTCAACCTTCTGCCAACCTGACAACGGGAGAAGTGAAGGCGAAAAACAAGAAATTACCTTTTCTTTCTTGGTTTCCTCCTGCCTCTTCCTCCACAGCATGGGGTATCTGGTGATTCCTGACCAGCACGGGCTCACGCCTACAGCAACTGTCTGGAACTTTCTTCTGGGTCACTACAGGTGATGTGATAGGGTTTTTTAATGACAGCGTTGATTCTGTTTCTGCTTGTTCAAAGAAGATATACTTGACAGCCAGAAGAAGTGCTAAACTCAGAGTTATAACTTGTTCAATATCCATGCTGATCATTCTGAATAAAAGAAAGCAAACTGGTTATTCCAGCACAAAATATCCAGCCCAGTCTTTGAATGTTGCAGAGTGACAATGCAGATGGACTTACTTAGAGAGATAAAACTGCCAGAGGGAGACACTTGGCTCAATCCTCTTGGACACATTTTCATCCAACCCCAAAGAAACCTTGGCACTGTCTGCTGTGCTGTTCTGAGGAGAAGGATCAGCTATCCAGCGACTGTGAGCATGAACAAGAACCAAGCCTAAAGACTGAAATAAAATTGAATTAATCCTTTGCCAATAAAGGCAACTTCAACTTCACACCCATAGCAAAGCCCCACCTTCCCGGGCCTCCCCTAACCTGGGATGTCCACACAGACCCACAACCCTGTTACTACTGAGCTACTACCAGCATCCTAGGGAACAGATTCTCAGAGAGAACTAATGCCAGAATCTTCTAAGCATGTAGATCAAGTTGAGAAAAAAAGGAACAAGGTGCAACGAATTATTAACCTTTGTTACTGTGAGTGACAAAACAGGAAGAAAAAACCCAAAATATTTTAAAAATACCAAAACTGAAGATAATGGAGGAGGAAGAAAACGGTCACTACCATGATCATCTTGACCCTCTGTGTTACAGGGTTCGGCTTATTCTCTTCTTCTTCTAACACTCGGGCAAAGTGGCTGAGCTGCCAAATTGGACGACCCTCGCGGCTTTCTCGGGAAAGCTAGAAAGAGAGTCAGTGTTACTCACATGAGGAAAGATCAGCCTCCTAAGCGAGCCATGCCTCCTCACCACAGCCCAACAGAACCGTTCTTACCTCTAACACCAAGGAAACGCAAGCAGGGAAGAAAGTCATGAACACGAAGTAGTTGGCAAGAACGGACATGCAGCCAAAGCAGCACATGATTTCCAGCTGGCGCACTCCTGGTTTAAAAAAAAATGTAAATCACAAAGTATGGGATCTTGGCTGCTACGCTCTAGTACACAGACGAGCACAGTAACCCTTTGCCGTCTCCTGAAGTGACACTACGCTGAGGATCGCAGGAGCCAGGGCGGGACGCGTGACCCACAGGGCCAGAGAGTTTGCTTTGCCCCTGTCTCCAAACACCCGACAGGCAAGTGGTGATACCTAATACATACTGATGATCAGATACATTTACAATCTTCTTTTCACAGTTCCCTTTTTTTTTTAAAACTTAAAGACTTATTTACTGGGCTCGGCACAATAGTGTAGTGGTTAAAGTCCTCGCCTTGCATGCCTGGGATCCCAAATGGGCGCCAGTTCTAAACCCAGCAGCCCTGCTTCCCATCTAGCTCCCTGCTTGTGGCCTGGGAAGGCAGTTGAGGACGGCCCAAAGCTTTGGGACCCTGCACCTATGTGGGAGACCCAGAAGAGGATCTGGGCTCCTGGCTTCAGATCAGCGCAGTACCAGCCGTTGCGGTCACTTGGGGAGTAGTGAATCATTGGATAGAAGATATTTCTCTCTGTCCTCCTCTCTGTATATATCTGACTTTGCAATGAAAATAAATATTTTTAAAAATTCAAAAAAAAAAAAAAACCCAAATAAAACCAAATGACAAAACACCATAAAACAGATGGCCAGAGTGAAAAATCAGTAATCGGCCAAGCTTTCACCAAAGAAAACAGACATCAGCTCAAATCGGTCCACACAATACAATTAAAACTTTTAAGAATATCTGAATAAACAATGCAGACCAACATCTACCCCTTCTGTAATGACATAGTTTTATATACATTGATAATTGCTTACATACCTGACATGGTTCCAACTCCAATCACAAGACATTCAACAAGAGCATCCAGGGTGAACGTGGGCCCTAAAAGTGCCATTCCACGTGCAATATTTTCCCTGACTTCATCCTAAAACACAGACCAACATATTAGCACAGGTATGGTATAAACTTTCAAAAAAGTTGAGAGCTTCCTATAGTTATACTAAAATCTAACTTATTCAGGCAATAAAATACACAATATGCTAAAACTAACAGGTGTTCAAAACACAAAGTATACCAGTTATATAAAAAATGTTTTTATGGATTAGCAAAGTCATCACTGTGACAACAGCATTCCATACGAGTACCAATTCTGGTCTTTCTCCCTGCACCTAGAAAAGCAGCTGAAGATGGCCAAAGTGGTTGAGTCACTGCACCTTCAAGGGAGACCCAAAGAAGCTCCTAGCTTCGCCCTGGCCCAGCGCTGGCTGTTACAGCCATTTTAGAAGTGAATCAGAAAATGGAAGAGATCTCTCTCCCTCTCCCTAACTCTGCCTTTCAAATAAATATAATAAATCTAACAAGAAAGCCCTGAAACTGTCAAAAAAATTTTTTAAAGAACATTTATGATACTTCAAAAAGTTTACACAAAACAGAATTAAGAGGCAAGTTTATTTTGTGACAATTTTCAAATAATTTATATATTTGAAAGAAGACATACAGACAGCTGACAGCTGTTACAACCACTGGTTCATGTCCCAAACACCCAGACCAGTAAGTGCCGGGAGCTCAGTGCTAACCTTGTGGGTGGAGGAAGCTGGACTCAGCAGGCATGAGCTGCAGGCACCCCGGTGGTCCGCTCAGGGCAAGTGTCCAGCAGGCACACAGAGAACTCTTCCCTAACACTCGTTTCCTACGTTCTATTGGAGCTCCTTATACAATATTCTGCCCCACTTTCCTCTGAATGAGTCTTGGGAACACTCCTTTTGAGGTGGTGAATTAATCCCTACATGTAACTCTCACGTAACTAACACCAACAAGAGTTTATATTTTGATTCACACTGATGGGAGCTACATTGCAGAGCCACACATGCACAGATATCATGTTACATTATAACATGGAAACCACTTCCTTTTCAACATGCTCAGATGAGCACAAATATTCATCAAATACATAATCCTATATGCCCTTTTACAATTATGATACTGATAGTTTAGAAAGTTAGATCTTTAAATGTATAAAAATGTAAGCTGGGGAAAAATGTCCTTGTTAATAAAGGCTTTAGCAACTGAGGATGCCTACACCCCAATATCAGGGTGCTGGTTTCAGTTCCAGCTCCCTGCTGACGCACTGGGGAGACAGTAGGTGAATTCGTGCCATCCACATGAGACCTGGATGGAGTTCCTGTCTCCCAGCTTCAGCTGGTCCAGCACATCTGTTTGGGTTTAGAGGTCTGAAATCAACAGAGAGAAGACTGATCAACTCATCTCTCTCTCACTTTGACTTTTCAATAAATTTAGAAAATATCTTTAAAAATGGATGAATGGGGGGGAGGCTAGCACTGCCTGCAGCACTGGCATCCCATAAGGGCACTGGTTGGAGTTCCAGCTGTTCCACATCCAGTCCAGCTCCCTAACGTGCCTGGGAAAGCAACAGAAGACACTGAACAAAGCTCTAGCTCCTGGCTTCAGCCAGCCTAGCCGGTCACTGTGGCAATTTGGGAAGTGAACCAGTAGAGGGAGCTCTCTTTGTCTCTAACTCTAAGGTTGTGCCTTACTAAGTAGGTATTTATCCTAAAGTCACCTTCTAATTTCTAAAACCAAAACCTTCATCCAGGAAAATGTGGACAATTACAATTCCTTAGGTACTAGAATATGTAACTGAGCTATTAGTGGTAAATGGGCCCATTCTTAGGACACAACTCTTATGACTAAAATATTAAGTGTCAAATTCTGGACAATTCCTGAAGAAACACCCTATTAACCTTTCCTAGGAATGTAAACAAATCTAAAGCCAAGAATCTTCCTCACATTTCTGTCTCGGCCTTACAGAACACTCACCTGGGAGTTGGAACTAAGGGCAAACTTGGCTAATGCACTCGCTCTGGAGAGGTCAATCAGAAGCAGGAAAAAGGGCAAAGCTTCACTAGGAAAGAAAACAGAATAGTCAGGGATGCTCGGCAGACCCTCCCACACAGCACTCCTCCTCCGAGCTCCTGTCGCATGCACCTTTCCCGTAGACCACCCTTCTCCAATGTCTTCAACCTAGGCCTGACAAAACCTCAGCATAGTATCCTGACTGTGAAATATAAACCCATCTACCCTGACAAACTTCAGTAATTTGCTAATCTTCCTTTTTAAAAGTATCCTTGAATTTATGTGTGTGTGTTGGGGGGGTGTGTCATAGCAAATTTTTTCATTAAACTTTCTGAGGATTCAGTCAGCAGGCTGTAACAGCTCTAAGAAGTGCTAAACAGAACTGTCTCACTGCTTCTTATGCAACCTGAAGAAGACATCTGTGACAGCACTGTTACCAAGGACTCCCCACAGAGCAGCCCACCTCCATCAGAGGATCAGACACTACAGCCCAGCCTCAGTCACTACTCATTTTAACATCAAGGACATGGGAAGATAAACTATTATCAGACACAAAGAACTTATCACATAGTGTATACTCAGTATGACCTAAGAAATCTTTAAATATGAATATAACATTCCAAGCTATTGTTTCTATAAGTAGCCAATGGTGTGTGAAAGAAATCCCCCAAACTCTGCAACTTCTGCCTTGTGAGGAGACAACAGTTCTTAAAATAGATACATTCTCAAGAAAGTATTTTATGCTTTAATACTCACTTCAAGCCTGTCAGTTCTTTATCTAAAAAGTGAATGACAACTGTGCTGAATACAAAACTGGAGAAAATTGTGAAGAGGCCAGCAATGCCTGAAATGACACAATTCCATCATGAAAAATTTCACAGTTCCAAGCAACATTCACGATAGTACTATTTCCTTTTAGCTCCATCAAGGTCTGAAATTTCGGGATGTGTGATGCCCGATAATAAGAAAGGAAACCACGGATGCAGGTAAGATACTTTCAGCAACACACATATTTCCAAATACATGACTTGAACTACTTTATTTTCATAGTAAATTAAAAATTTAATGGTACACAAGTAAATCAAATATATTAGAACATTACCCAAAATATACTTTGATCCAAGCTGACGTAAATTCTGGAACTGGAAGTAAATGTACAGGATTGCTATGCATCGTGTTATGGTCAGAATTATGATATCACTGCTCAGTACATCCTATTGGGAGAGAAAGGAAACAACTTACAATAAACTATCAAAACCAGAAACTTCTGTAAGTACCAGCTTTCAGATAAGAGTATTACTAGAGGTACAATAAAAATCAGACATATCACACAGAAGTCAAAAATTAAATCCAACTTTTAAGCAATCCACTGGGTTAATATAGTACACTCATTATTAACCAATAGTCACATAAAAGATGTTTCTCAAATAAAGGCAATTACACTCACATGAATTAAAAAAAAAAGACAATAGTGATAACTTGGCAATAATGAAAAGACAATAATGAAAACTTGGAGGGCAAGCGCAATGGCTCAACTGCATAATCCTCCATCTCCAAGTGCTGCATCCCATACGGGCACCAGTTCATGTCCCAGCCATTCCACTTCCCATCCAGCTCCCTTCCTGTGGCCTGGGAAAGCAGTGGAGCATGGCCCAAGTCCTTGGGACTCTGCACCCACATGGGAGACCAAAAGAAGCTCCTGGCTTCATATGGGCTCAGCTCCTCCAATGCAGCCTTTGGGGGAGTGAATCCAGCAGAGGGAAGATCTTCATCTTTCCTTCTCTCTCTCAATCTGCCTTTCCAATCAAAATAAATGAATCTTAAAAAAAAAAAAACCCTTCAAAATAAATAAATGGAAACTGGATATAAGTTCAAGAATACCAAAACAAAGATTTTCCCATAATTAAAAAAAAATGTTCTGTCTCAGGGCTATGGCGCAGCAAAAGCAGCTGCTGCCTGTGGGACCAGCATCCCTCAGGAGCACTGGTTCAAGTCCCAGACACTTCGCTTCTGATCCAGCTCTTGGCTTCCTGGCCACTGCAGCCATCTGGGGACTGGATCAGCAGATGGAAAACAGACTCATCATCTATTTTTTAAATTATATGTCTCTGGGCCTGGCATGGTAAGCTAGTGGCTAAAGTCCTCCTCTTGCATGCACCGGGATCCCATAAGGGCACAGGTTCTTGTCCCACTGCTCTACCTCCTATCCAGCTCCCTGCCTGTGGTCTAGGAAAGCAGTCAAGGATGGCCCAAAGCTTTGGGACCCTGCACCACGTGGGAGACCTGGAAGAGGCTCCTGCCTCCTGGCTTTGGATCGGCTCAGCTCCAGCCTTTGTGGCCACTTGGGAGTGAACCAGCAGATGGAAGATCTTTCTTTCTGTCTCTCCTCTCTGTAAATCTGCCCTTCCAATAAAAATAAATATTAAAAATATACACATCTCTAAAAGAAGATACTTTTTTTTAAGGAGACACTCTTTAGAAACTGAAAAACCAATGGAATTTAATCAACATCAAGTTAGTTTCACTTACCTCTTCAAACTTTGGACACTCATAATTCCAACCACAGATCTTATCATTACCAGTGAACATGTTCATAGACATCATACAGATGGTCAGTGTCACAGTCCCCACTATGACTTCCCAGGGATGGGAAGCCACCAGGAGGCCATGCATACGAAACAGTCTTGAAAGCATTGTGGTTCCAGAATCCTGGGATCCTGCAAGGAACACCAAATGTGAATATTTAGTACATAGGGCTCATAACGTTTCATGGACATACGCTAGACAAGTATACTGTGTACCCTGCTGTGTGTATAAGTGTTCTATACAACGCCTATCTGATAGTTTCCCTTCCGATACTGAAAAATAATTATGAAATTAAGAAGACTACTACTCTTTAGTAAAACACTTAAAACCCTTGATTACTCCCCGGCAGCCAATTTAAAGGCAATCAATTTTTAAAAAACAGACATTTAATGTCAAGTAAACAAATACAACCCCTGTTATTATCTGAGCTAAAAAGGCAAACAATAAAGAACCAAAAATGAGAAGCAGTTGATCACACTTCTTTTTTCAGGGATATGAAATACACAAGGACCTCTTCATCCCAGCCACATTCTGGTTCCAGAAAAGGTAAATATCAAAGAATCTACTTGTGGACTAAACTCTGTTGGTCTGTATACTCCTCACAGGCAGAAAATATCACACTATTGTATGCCTATGTCACCAGCAAATGACATTTAATGACCCTGGGTATTGCTGTCTCCAGATGGTCTTCTCTTAGAGAGGGTAACAGGGCCAGCACTGAGGCTCCCAAGGGTGAAGTCACTGCCTGCAGCACCGCTCCCACAGGCCCCACTGCTCCACGTCCCATCCAGCTGCTGCTGAGGTGCCTGAGAGCAGGGCAAGATGGCCGGACTCCTCGGGCCCCTGCGTGAAGCTCTGTTAGCCCAACCAGTACAGCAGTTTGGGGAATAAGCCAGCGGGTGGAAGATCTATCTTCCCCTTCTCCGTTTAACTCTTTTTTAAAAAGAGTTCATTTTTTTTTTATTGGAAAGTCAGATACACAGAGAAGAAAATATTCCATCTGCTGATTCACTCCTCATGTGGCCACAACAGCTGGAGCTGAGCCAATCTGAAACCAGGAGCCAGGGTCTTCTTCCGGGTCTCCCACATGGGTGCAGGGTCCCAAGGCTTTGGGTCATCCTCCACTGCTTTCAAAGGACACAAGCAGGGAGCTGGATGGGAAGCAGGATCGCCGGATTAGAACCAGTGCCCATATGGGATCCCTGTGCGCACAAGGTGAAGACTTTAGCCACTAGGCTACCGTACCAGGCCCATAGGACTTTTAAACAAATGTTTAAATTCTCTTTTTTTTAAGGACAATAATTGTCCTCTGGTAATTCTTTCCTTCTTAGCCGTGGCACTGAAGAGCAGCAGGAAAGCATCAGGTGTGAAACGCAAATGAAAGTGGGGGGACTAGATCACTGGCTCAAGGGCCTTCCAAAACAGCACCCTAACCCTTCAAGGGTTCCTGCAGAAACAGAATTAAAGATAAGATTATTCTGATGCAAAACATTCTGAACTCCTTCACGTTTCTTCATCATCTATGTACCTTCATGAATCTTTTGAAGATCTTCCTATTCCAGAAGATTCTGACCTAAGGAATACCACACTGAAATCTCCCCGTATTTGCTGGCCAAGTATAACCTGATATTGAGGTTTGAAAAGCCTTAAATAGCCAATGGCTTCCACAAATGAACTTGGAAGTCTTGGTTCTTACATGGAAATGTGTACAATAAAGCATACTAACGATACATAAAAACAAACTAAAGGAGTTAAAAAGCCTACTATCATAGGAAGAACTCAAACAACAAAATCTCACATTCTGTAATAACTAAGAAACTGATTCATCTACTGAAGACAGGAAGTAACAAGACAACAAACTGGAAAAGAGGCTGGTTGGGCCACAGCAAGGTCCAAGCTCACCCACTTCAAGCCAGCTCACTGCTGCCGCTCTTTCTAGGGTGGAAGGGGAGGGTGGCCCCTGAGTTTGGGGAAGGAATCAGGGAATGGAAGATCTTCCCCAGTAACTCCACCTTTTCAATAAATGAATTAAATTTTCACACCAGACCTTTTCAAAGCATAGATCACAACCCTTCATTTGATTCAATCATGAAATCAATTTCGTAGGTAGCAACAAACTTTTTTTAATGAAATAAAAATAAATGTTTGATAAAATATGCAGTCTACGTAGGTAGTATTCATCGAAAACATTTCACAAAACCACTGCACAGTATGTGTCCTGGCCTCCTGCAACAGCTATTTCTTACTACAAGTCACAGCATCAAACGGATTGTGGGTCACTGAGGTATGACCGTCACACAACCCGCCTGTGCTTATTAGTGCTTTCCAGTCTTCTATCTTGAATCTTACTCATAATTTTTCCCTTTAACACTTCACATTCATATATAGCATTGGCAAATTCCTGCTTCATTACTTGCAATTCTTAAACTGTAGTAACATGCATCTAATTGACTGAGACAGACCCAAAGATGATCTTTTACTTTTAAATGTCTGTTCCCCAGATTAGGAGACTGCAGACCCCTGCAGGGCTCTGGGTGGGATGGGAAGGGACTAGGAGCAGGGAAGATCACCTTTTCATAAGAGCACCTAGAAAAGGAAGCAGTGCATGTCCTCAACTTAATGGCAGGAAGCCCAGCATCCAAGGGATATTTTAATGGAACGTGGGGAGAAGAAACATTCTCCTGCTTGGGATGCTGCAGATCCTGGGTCCCTCCGAGCCTCCTGTGAAGGGCATCATGGGAATCACAACCCAGAAGGGAGACCCCAGCTGAGTCCCTGGCTTCATCTTCCCCAGCTCAGCTACTGAAGGTACCTGGGGTAGAAGATCTCTATTTCTCTGAACTTCATGGCAAAATGAGATTTAAAGCGAAAAATAAGGGGGAAAAAACACTACAAACTGACCTAAAGCATCAACCATCATCAATATTCCAGAAAGTGAATTAACCACTTGTTTCAACAAGGCCAAAATACTTTCTACCTCTCCCAACACCACACAAAAAAGTAACAAAGCCTGTCAACCTTCTCAGTCAGTATTCATCACTTACTAAAAAGCTAATTCAACTAAAGTCTAAACTGCTGCCAAAAAGGAACTCAGAGTTAACATACATAACATCAAATGACATGTCACTCTCAGAAAGCTGTCACAGTGGCATTGTCAATCCTGCCATATTTGCAACATTTGGGGAAAATTTACACAGAACTCTATGAGCCACCCTAGACACAGAGAGCCACACCTATTTGAAAATACAAAGTCACCTCAGCAAAGGTGTGTCCAAGTAATCATAATTATAAACTCATGCATGCCACAGAATCTTCCACCTTGAGCAGCAGGCTGAGGAGGCCTCATGAAAATCCCAAACATTTTTTTTTTTTTACCATGCTACAGTAAAACTTCCAGCAGGGAGGGCCGACAGGCAGCTAGATTGAAGTCTGTAGCAAACATTGCACAAGTTGCTCAGAAGAACCGCGGGGTCTACCTGCCAGGTATCCCAAACCAACTCTTCTCCAAGGTAAGAACCACGTCACCCTTCACCCCATATTTACTGCGCCCGGTTCTGTCATAAGCTCCCCACTTGCACTTTGCAGCCATCTCCTCCCTGCCTCTCATCTGGGAGGCCAGAACCCCGAGTTCTCTGACAAAGACGACGATAGGTGGAGGGTGGAGCCGCATCATACTCCTACTTCTAGATTTAAAAGCAAACTAACTAAAGTGGCGCTCCAGTCACCGGCCACCGTTCCGGGTGAGGGTCCGGGGCTGACTCCGCGAGGCAGGAAAGCGGGAAGCCCAGGGCCGAACAAGCTGCCCCCGCGATGGAAACCCGAGGCCCGGGGGCGCCTGGGCACTGGGGGTCCCGTGGGTGTCTCCGTGGGCGCGGCTTCCCGGACCTGCAGCCCCAGCCCGCCTCCCTCCGGTCCCCCGCCCCGAGTCGCAGCTCAGGAGCCCCCGGAGGCCGCCGCCCCGAGTCTCACCTCACGATCTCACCGGAGGCCTTGTACCCGGGCGCCGCGCTCCGCCCGTCTCAATCCACCAAGGCGCGGGGCGGAAGAAGCCCTCGGTGACGCACGCGTGCCGCGCACGGGCCGCGGCCAATCGGAGAGGATCGTCCGATCGCGCGGCCAATCGGCGGGCGTAGCCGGCCTCACGGCGCACGTCACGAACGGTCGTCCTAACAACCGCCTCCAGCTCGCCCTCGGCCGGCGGCCCCACCGCACCACCTCGCACCACGGCGTCGCCCGCCAATGGCGGCTCGAGGCCCGGCGGCCGCGCCTGCCGATTGGTCGGGAACCGCGGGGGCGCCCGGCCCAGGCGACGGGGGTCCCTGGTGGGGCGGCCGGAGCTGACCGTGAGGGGAGGGTGGGACTGTGCGTCACCCTCGATGGGCCGCCCCAAGCCCCAAGCCCAGAACCCCGAGGCCAGAACCCAGCACCCCGCGCCCGGATCCCACCACCCGGAGCCCTGAGCCCAGAATCCAGCACCCCGCGCCCGGAGCCAGAGCCTGGAGCCCAGCACCCCGAGCACCGAGCCCAGCACCCCGAGCCCGCTCACCCCCATTCCGTCACCTGACTCCTGGGCACTCCTGGTGTCCCAGTGTACAGGTGCACTGGCCCGGTGACCTTCCTCTTGTGCCACAGGTCTGCCCCCCAGTTTCCCTGAAGTGGGTCGTGGTCTCCTAGGTTACAGACGCCCACTCTAGCAACGGGGCTACATCCCATCCATCTCTCGCTACTTTCCTGGTTCACACACCCTACCTTCACCCCAAGGCAACTTGGTAACAGGTAACTTTGTCCAGTCACCCCAGGACCTTTTGACCTCTGTGTGTGCCCTGTTTGTGTAACCTGTATTTGTCTGCCCATTTTTTAAGGATTTATTTTTTATTGGAAAGTAAGATATACAAAGAGGAGGAGAGATAGAGGAAAGATCTTCCATACACTGATTGATTCCCCAAGCAGCTGCAACAGCTGGAGCTGCGCTGAGCCGAAGCCAGGAGCCCGGATCCTCCTCCAGGTCTCCCATATGGTTGCAGGGTCCCAAGGCGTTGGGCTGTCCTCCACTGCTTTCCCAGGCCACAAGCAGGGAGCTGGATGGGAAGTGGGGCCTCTGAGATTAGAACCTGTGCCCATATGGGATCCCTGTGTGTGTAAGGCAAGGACTTAAAAACAGCCAGGCTACCGTGCTGGGGACAGTCTACTCATTTAAAATGTTGAAATCCTAACTACATCTTCGGAACCATTCGCCTTTTCTGTCTCCCATCAGATGTGTATCTTGTGATGAGGAAACTTTTCAAGATTAATTGTACTTAGCTAAGTTTTTTTTCTTTATGATTTAAAAGTCAGTTGCGACACAGAGAGGATCTTCTACCACTGGTTCACTCTACACATGGCCACCCATCCAAGGCTAGACCAAGCCAAGTGGGGAGCCAGGAGGTTCATCTGGGTCCCCTAGGCAGGTAGCAGGGACCCAAGTACTTGGATCATCTTTTAGCTTTCCCCAGTTTTGAAACTATAGAAAATACTACACAGATTATAATCTTGCTGGATTCCCCATTGTACAGCAACTTGCTGGATTTGGACTTGCAAGTACAGGGTATGCCACTCTGCTGCTCCATGCTGTTGCAGTGCCCTGGTTCTGTCTCCTTGCCAGATACTAATTGTAGGACTAGCACCACAGTGTAGTAGATGAAGCCTCAGTCTGCAGTTCCCACTTTTGACCCAGCTCCCTGCTAATGTACCTGAGAAGGCAATGGAGGATGACCGAAGTCCTGGGGACCCCACGCCCACGTGGGAGACCCAGAAGAAACTCCTGGCTCCTGACTTTGGACTGCCCCAGCTCTGGCCAGTTGTAGCTGTTTTGGGGAAAGGAACCAACAGATAAAAGACTTCCATGTTTCTAGAAAGGAAGAAAAGAAAGAAGACAGACTTCATGCTGTGTAGGCTGCTGTGGCTGGTCCTGGAAATGCAGCATCTAATCTGGTAGACACCATATCTGCCTCCAACACCTTGCTTCGTTAACTGGTGGGGCCAGCTTGATGGCTCTGCTGGCTAATCCTTCATCTCCAAGCACTAGCTTCCCTTGTGGGCACCGGTTTGTGTTCCAGCTGCTCTACTTCCTGTCCGGCCATCTGTTTGTGTCCAGCAGAGGATGGCCTAAAGCCTTGGTGGTCCTTTTGCGTCTCCTGACCCTGGGGAAGCTCTTGGTTCCTGGCTTCAGATTGGCTTAGCTCTGGCTGTTGCTGCCATTTGAGCAGTGAACCAGCATGTGGAAGATCATTCTCTCTGTTTTTCTCTCTGTAAATCTGCCTTTTCAATAAAAATAAATAACTTAGGGCTCGGCATAATAGCCTAGTGACTAAAGTCCTCACCTTGCAAGCGCAGGGATCCCATATGGGCACTGGTTTGTGTCCCAGCTGCTCTACTTCTCATCCAACCCTGTGCTTATAGCCTGGGAATGTAGCAGTCGAGGACATCCCAAAGCCTTGGGACCCTGCCCCCATGTGGGAGACCTGGAAGAGGCTCCTGGCCCCTGGCTTCGGATAAGCTCAGCTCTGGCTGTTGTGACCACTTGGGGAATGAATCAGTGAATGCAAGATCGTTCTGTCTCTCCTCTCATGTATCTGCCTTTCCAATAAAAATAAATAAATCTTCGAAATAAAAAGTAAAAAATGTTTTCATAATAAGAAAGAACTGGAGTTAAACCTGCTGTATTATGGACCAGTCAAAAGGAAAAGAAAGAGTATAGAAGCAGTCATGAGCCCTGTCCTTTGGGGATTCAGCTATCTCAAATAGGAGTTACAGGTTGAACAGAAAGCTTCCAGGTGCTAGTTCAAGTTAGGGTTATACAGTTGTTAGAGCCAAAGGCTCATTGCCGAATTCTGCTCAACTGAGAATGCTGGTGGGTGTGTGAATCCGAAAGCTGAGTTTCGTGGTCTAGTTTTACCTTAAAATGACTTCTGTATCATTCCCAAAATGTATTTCCAAAGGATCTTTGTTGTGTAAAACTAATAATTTATACTTGATGCTAAATCATACGCATTGGCACACATACAACATGGCAGAGGAGTGTGGAGTAAGGCTCACGGCTTGCCCTCTGAGAAGAGCTTGCTAAAGGTAGGATCTTGAAGGCTGCTTTTGAAGCAATCATCTGAGTCACGTCACCCTTCGCGTTCTCTCACGCCAGTGTGCGTGGTCTCTGACCTCCACTTATCTGGGTTTTAGCTGTCATGACGCATTCTTAAAGACAAGGAATTGCCATAACAATAATAAATATTTACAGAGCACTTTCTACAGGCCAGCCAGGTTTCTAATGCTCTTGATACATTAACTCCTTTAATTAACCTTTCTGTAAGGAAAACATTAGTGTGGTATGCATTTGACAAATGATTAAGCTATAAAAACAGATGTTAAATAACATTCTGAGTTTGAGAAGTTTTGAACTTTGGAACCTGGCCTCCAGGCACAAGCACCAAAGTTGTCCACTGCTCTCTTTTCGATGAGCACAGTAGGCGTTTTTCCTTTGTTTTTAAGTATTTATTTTTATTTGAAAGGGCAAAGTCACAGAGAGAGATTGGAAGAGACTGAGGGAAAGGTTAGCTGGTTCACTCCCAAATGGCCACTGCAGATTAAACTATGACCTGCCATGTAGGCATCCCATGTGAGCCCTGTAACTGCTCTGCTTCCCATCCAGCTTCCTGCTAAACCCACAAGGGAGCGCTGGATGGCGCTCCAGGCTCCTGACTTTGATGTGGCCTGGCCCTGGCCCTCGTGGCCATTTGAGGAGTGCTTCAGCAAGCAGGAATTTCCCTCTCCTTCTCCTTTCTCTGTAACTCTGTCTTTCAAATAAAGAAGTAAATCGTTTCGTAAAAGTGTCCATGAAGGGTTGCATTTTGCTTGTTTATTTCCTGTGTTCAAATTTACATCTTCTGTTCTGGAGCAGTCAGTCCTCACGTCTGGCACAATGCTTTTTTCATCCTTTTAAACTTGAGACCAGTTCTTGACTTGGTGAGTTGCAAGCGACAGCACTTGGCTTTTGGCAGATGCTATGATGCGTGGTCACTCCTGAAGTCCAAGAGTCCATCGTCTCCTGGGCCCTTGGGGGTGCAGTTAGAGGAGAAATGCAGACCCTTCCCGAGTCAGCATGGGGAGTGATCAAGATTCGCACAGGGCCAATTGAGGAAAGTTTGGGTTGTTGAGCTGTTTCTTTTGTTTTTAGCTTACATGCAAATTAGATTCTTTTTTTCCCTAAAAAAAAAAACAAAACAAACAAACAAAAAATAATACCTGTGCTTCAGATAACTCTAGTTCAGGAAGGTATCAGTCTGATTTATCTTGAGCCCTGGTGTTGTGTGGGTAGCAACCAGCAGTCAGTTGTGACAGAATCCAAAGGAACTGCTCCACTTTAAAAAAAAATTAAAGTTATTTTTATTGGAAAGGCAAATTTATGGAGAGAAGAAGAGACAGAGAGATCCTCCATCTGTTGGTTCACTTCCCAAGTGGCTGCTATGGCCAGAGCTGAGCTGATCTGAAGCCAGGAGCCAGACGCTTCTTCAGGCTCTCCCATGTGGGACCACTTGAGCTGGCCTCTGCTGCATTCCCAGGTGCATTAGCAGGGAGCTGAATGAGAAGAGTAGCCAGACATGAAACAGTGCCACCATGGGATGTCAGTGTTACAGGTGGAGGATTAACTGAGTAGCCATGGTGCTGGCTCCAACTGCTCCACCTGCTATCACTTTCCCCTTTCTGAACCGTCTGTACAGTTCAGAATCTCACCAGGGGCCACCCCACACTTGATAGTCCAGCAAGAGCCGCTGTGCCATCTGGGCCCACTTCTTCAGCAGCTAAGCAGTGGCAGTTTCTGAAAGCACAAGGATGTGCTTGGTTTCTCCCTCAGCCCTGGCATGATTGTCCGTGATGTCATCGGCCAGGGGTGGGTGTGGTTTCTCTGCCTTAGCCGCCTGGGACTTCGGTGAGGTCCTTTCCAGCAGAGGAGATCGGTGCTCCCTCCGACCCAGAGCCCACCAGTGATGGCTCACATCCCAGCTGATGAAGCCCCAGCCGATA